TGAAAGGTGAAATGGGCCATCGAGGTGAGTGCTGGAGGATTTTAAAAGCTGCCATTTATTCACCTGTTTTGGGCTGGGGATGACTTCAGAGTTCCCTTACAAGGCTTATTTGGGAGACTCTAGATTTGTTAGAAACTGAAATAAGTTAGAAAGAGCTTGACATACTTTTTACAAGATACTCAGTGCTGATGTACAAAAATGGTCTTAATTTCACATTTTTCTCCTTTGTGTCAAATCTGTGTGGTTTTTGTGGGGTACTTACACATCTTTTGCCCCATGTCCAGGTCTCCCTGGCAGACCAGGGGCTCCGGGAATAACCCCACAGCCAGAAGAAGTGACAGCCCCTGCAGGATTACCTGGTCTGCCAGGAATTGATGGTGTTCCTGGCTTTGATGGAGATCCTGGATTCCACGGCCCAGCTGGAAAACCAGGTAGAAAGTACACTCAGATCACCAAAATGCTATTCTGGAAGAAAAACACTACTTTATCAAATGCATTAGGAGTGTTTACAGGGTTTTTTAATTAAGAAGATAATTCCATCAAAATGCATACAAATATAATATATACAAATATAATGCTGCCCTTTAAACCACGTGATACTCAGCTGTACCTCTCAGTCATTTTACAGACAACTAGATCAGGTGGAGTCTCTTTTGGAAACAGCTGTTTATAACCATAGCTGGTGAAGAGCGAGCTTTTGGCATGGCGGCTGACATCTTATTTCCCTTCTAGAATATGATTGCAGGAGTCAAGGCAATAGTATGAGGAAATAATGATACTAATGATTGTATTTTATTTCAGGCCCAAAAGGTTTGCCAGGAAGATCTGGTTTGAAAGGACGTGATGGCTTACCTGGAACTCCTGGCATAGATGGGGATCCAGGACTTTCAGGTGCCCCAGGACCACAGGGATTTGAAGGTAATTTTATGATTTGGGGAGCACAGATCAAAAAGAAGCAAGCAGTAGAATTGTGTTTGTTTACAGCTTCTCCAGAGACCCTCCCCAACACCCAATTACCTTAGGGAAACCAGGGGACGTCTGTGGTACTTTGTTTTGGATCTGTAATGAAGGAAATTTAATCTGCAGTGAGGAAAGTTCTGTCACATGTCCTTGTTGCTGTCACAGCTGGTGTTTCTGTAGGTGCAATTCTAAACACCTTTTGATGTTAATGTTTTATGATGCTAATGTTTATAATGTTTAATGTGGGAATCATCTTGAAGATCTAGAAGAGTGATATAGTATTCAAAGTAACCATAGCTGTGAGGCTTGGACAGTAGAGGAAAGGCACAGTGAGAAAGAAGAGGAATATCATTAAGAAGAGTGCTATAGCAAAAATGAATGAATTAGGTTTTGGTTGGTACTTTGAGATCCTCAGAACTACTGTACTGTGAGTACCTAACACACTGGCACCAGAGTTGTTGGGCAAAGAAAGAAAACTAAAAGAGGAAGTGAATGGGTGGGTGGTTCTGTGAAATGACTGCTTTTGGAGCTGTTAAGTCTAGTAATTCATATAACAACCATATAGCTTGGGCTCCTCATTGTATAAGACTGCCATAAGCAATGCCAAATGGGGTATAGAGCCAGCTGATGTCCACACTGTGCGCTAGCAATAGCGATTCTTCTTCTGTCTCCTAGGTGTTGCTGGGAAGCCGGGTTCCCTTGGTTTACCGGGAATGCCTGGTCGGAGTGTGGCCGTTGGATACACTCTAGTGAAGCACAGTCAGTCAGATCAGATCCCCCCATGTCCCATAGGAATGAATAAACTCTGGGACGGCTACAGCTTATTGTATGTGGAGGGGCAGGAGAAGTCACACAACCAGGATCTCGGTGAGTTGACAGAATTCTCTCAAGAATTAACAATACAGGCCAAAATTACATTTAAAAAGCCATCCTCCCTGGCAGTGCAGAGGGCTGTAGTGAAGGTGGTAGCAGTTGGCTTGGCCAGATCTGCACTGGGAGTGGTGTCACTCGTGCCATCCTCACTGGTGTGTATGACTTGGAATGTTTGGCCGATGCTTGGTATGACCACTTCTCCCATTTTTCCAGGTTTTGCTGGCTCATGTTTGCCTCGCTTCAGCACCATGCCTTTTATTTACTGCAACATCAATGAAGTGTGCTACTATGCCAGCCGAAATGACAAGTCCTACTGGCTGTCCACCACTGCTCCCATCCCCATGATGCCCGTGGACAGCGTCCAGATCCCACAGTACATCAGCCGGTGCTCTGTGTGTGAAGCACCTTCCCAGGCTGTGGCTGTGCATAGCCAGGACATCACCATCCCACAGTGTCCCCTGGGCTGGCGCAGCCTGTGGATAGGATACTCCTTCCTTATGGTAACCTATGGTGCACAACTGCTAGTTCAAAGGCAGCTTTAAACATTTAGATCTCTCCTCTCTGATGAGGTCACTGAGACTATGTTCTGTGAGTTACAGGAACTTGGAACCCTGTCTCTTCTTGCCTCAGTGTCTATCTTCATCAGCTGAGTTGCTGTAGCTCTGAGTTTGCTCTGTTTAACACCTGCCCTGATTAGTTTTGGTGGTAACACTGCTGCTTAAGTTCTGTATTGCCACAGATGTTTTTTCTTCAAACCTTTAAATGTGGGAACAGTAATTAAGCTACAGTATTGACTTAATCCTCTTTCACAGTGGAAAAAGTTCTCTGTTGCACTCTCCTAGAAGTTTATTAGTGTAAGATTGTTGGAAAAACATGATATCAGCATTATTGTTTCCAGATTTTCCCAACTTTCAAGGGAAAAGCTGGTTTTCCATTGTTCCAGGCCTTCATATTCAGCCTAACTATGGTCCTTTGATTTTTGCCTTCTAGCCCTGATTTAAGAAACAGATATACATAGCCAGAGTATAATTTTGGTTGCCAGTTTCACTCCTTTTAGCAATGGAGCCAAGAGACTCCTCTGTTTTCCTCTTTCTATTCCTTTGAGCTCACTCAGCTTACCATCTTTATTTCAGCACACTGCAGCAGGGGCGGAAGGTGGAGGCCAGTCCCTTGTCTCACCTGGTTCTTGCCTGGAGGATTTCCGAGCTACTCCATTCATTGAGTGCAATGGTGCTCAGGGAACGTGCCATTACTTTGCCAACAAGTACAGCTTTTGGCTGACCACAGTGGAGCAGGAACAGCAGTTTGTCAGTGCTCCTCCCTCAGAGACTCTGAAAGCAGGGCAGCTTCGGACTCGCGTCAGCCGCTGCCAGGTGTGCATGAAGAACTTGTAGTGACAGAAATGCAGTTATGGGAACAGTCTTTGTTACCCCAGATTAAACATCACTGACTGGACAAGGATAAATTCACAAATGTGTGTGTTTGATGGGTGAATTAAGACAGCCAGAACTCTGCAAGGATCAAGTTTCAAGTCCAGGAGTTTGTGCACAGAGGAGGGAAAGACCAGTGTTCTGAAGCCATTTTTTAAATGAAACGTGGTGCTATATTTTTATTTCAATGTTTTTTCCCCTCCTTTATGGCTACCTCAGAATGTCTCAGTGAGGAGAAGACTGAAGAGCAGCTGACACCTCGTACCACTCTGTCTGAGGCACATCCAGTGGTCACCCAGAGACACTTTGCAAAAGCTATGCTTAATTGATGTCTTTGCAAACAGTATTTGTTCTAGTCTAAGGGAGTGGAGACTCATTCTCCTGTGAAACACAGAACTAGCTAAAATTTATCAGTATATGCTGGATGACTCAGAAACACTATGTACTAATGGTTGAAAATGGATTTTCTAAGAAAAATTGAAAAATTAGTGTTTTGCTTTGCTTATTACACAGATGGAACATTCTTTCCTCCAGTGACAGGTAACCAGTTCTAATCCAGACTGATATCCATAACAGACCTTAAAGAGCTACACCAATGAAAAATGCAATTTTTCATGTGAAGATAAATGCAAAACACCTCTACCATTTTTCATTGTTTTCTATTGAAATATATTCTGGGTCTGTTGGCTTTAAGGTCTGTGCTTATCTCCTTGCAGCCAATGATATGCAGCCATACTTTATTAGTCAACATTTTATTACTATGAACATAAATTTCCTTTCTGAGGCACCTTTGGAACACTTACTTTGTAATTATTCAAGCTGTGTGTGTTTGAAAAGTAGAGCCTTTACTAGATGGTATGCAAGCTTATGCAGATACAGGAGTAAGCAGTTATGAGATGTACATTTTTTACTCCTGCAGTCACCATGTGTTGTATTCTGCTTCCTCTGAGTTTTATTGCTGTTAGTTTAAAAAAATTGTATCTCTACTGTATGCACTGTTAACTTTCATTCAGGGTGTAATTAAAGAAAAGTACCACTAATTGGATTTTCCTTGTATATTTTAAGGGAAACCCATGACAAAGGTATGCTTATACCTATAATGAATTCATTCAGTAGGACTAAAGTTACTACCATTAACCTCTCTGGAGTGAAGTGTGTGAAATCCTTGGCTACTGACATTCCAGGGCATTTCAAAAGAGTGCCTTGCAAATACACTGTCATCTTGGCTTAAAAATCTTTCAGAAAAAATTTATTAAAAAAATTATTATTAATGCATGACTTAGACATTATTTTAAACAGATAATAATCAGTAAAGATGTGTTACTTGCATAACACATTATTATCTTCATAGATGGAGGTCAGAGTTCTCCAAGTTCTGGAGTTGAACCACACTAGAGATGAACAGGGAAGTTATGAAGAACAATGTAGTCTTTTCATCTCATTCCTAATTGTGAAAGATCAGCAACTGCTTTGGATGTATTTTGCAAGTATCTTTAAGCATTTTAACAATCCTAAGCAGCAGTCCTTTCCTGCAGGATATCCAGTCTAGCTGTCCTGGCACAGACAGAGCATGTTGGATTTAAATCCTGGGTTATGCACATGCAAATTTAAAACACTTTTGTGCACAGAGCAAAGCTCAAGACTTTTGAAAATCACGCAGATACCTGACAAAGTACAATGAAATTTTCAGCCACTGGGTTCTCGTGGTGCTACAAAGAGACATGTTCAGGACTTATCTGCAGGGACTTGGCTTTATTTTTGAACATGACACATGCAAACACAATTAATTTATTCCCCAGGATCAGAGCTTTATGCATTTTAAACACCACTGTCTTTAGAGAGCTGATTCTCTTGAAGTAACTGGCTCCACTGCTGTCCCTGTCCAAGCTCCCATCATTCCACCAGCCACTCCCTGTCAGGTGCATGGAGCAGGAATTCCAGTCACCAGCTGTTTTGCCATCAGCCCCATTTCCATCCAGTTACCCCCACCCAGAATCCTTCAAGAGCTCTGCAAGGCTCAGGCTCCTCTCTGAAGAAGCTAAGGGTGGCTTGGGGAAAAAGCACGTGGTACTCTACTGAGGGTCTTTTAATTACTTTTTTTAGCAGGTACTGCCCAAGCCTGAGCATTTCAGAGCAAGGGCTCATTTTAATTTTTTGTCAGTGGGGAGGAGAGGGCTGCAACTAATGTCATAAGCACAGTAACTTAATGTATTAATGAAAAATAAATACTTTGTTTAAAAAAAAAAAGCCTAAACTTGAACAGCTAATCCATGGAAAGGGCAAGAAAATGACATTTTTCCTACATGTATAGTTTCCAAATATGGCTATTACACATCGAAGGCAAACTAGATGAACCGTGCCCAGGTAATGACTATTTTCTTGGAAATCACAATAGCCCTAATCCAGAAGTGCAAGTGAGAGGAGACAGGATTCAGGATTTCTCTACGTGGTCATTTATTACTGAAGCTGAAAGTGTGCGTCCATTCACATCCATTACACTATTGTGACAATTATCAGAATGGTTCCTGTCTGATAGTAAAAAGGAACTGTAGAGTGAATTTAAAAGATCTTTGCCTTTATTCTGAGCTGGTTTTCGTACAGCTGCTACAGCGATACTCTAAGAAAAAAAATTGTACCAGCTCTTCTGATAAACCTGGAGAATTAAGGCACTTTTACCAAAGAGATTTTAAAAGGCAACAAGTCAAAACTCGACAATTAAGTGATTTGCATATACCTATATATTAAGTTTTATAATAACCTGGGTTATATTTAGTTCACACAAATTAACGAAATATAGCAGCATACAACCTATGAAAAGCTTAAGAAATTTATTAGATGCACAGATAAAGTGCAGTAACAGAGATACTTGTGTAAATCTTTTTTAAAATAAATAAGGTACAGTTAAACCACCTTTGACTCGCTTTAGCTCCAAAAGAAAAGTCAGCCTAAGTTTTAATGATTGAACTTTAAGGTCAAGGTGAAATATAACTATAACAGTGGTTGTGATCTGTATCAACTATTTGAGGCTCCTGTTCCTCTTTAGGTCTCCCAGAAACAGGAAGGCTATTGCAAAATGGATATGTTAAACATAGTTCCTTTCACAGAAACATTTTTGTCATAAAGTGTGGTTGCTCAAATACATGTTAAAATATTTAACAAGGAAACAATTTTCTCCTGATCCAGTTGATCTTTTAAACAAGACAATGCATTTTGTCTATGATGCAGCCCACGGGAAGGAACAGAAATAAACATCTTCCTTAACTGAAGACTGTTTTACTTTAAGAACTAAACTATTGCATTATATGAGAGCAAGAAATACCCATTTTGTGTTATCCCTTTCTCCAAACATAAAGCCCACTGACAGACTTATTTTTGCCTTAATCTCAGAGATCTATTTGTCTTCAAGAAAGACATACATTAAAAAGAAGTTCCCTTTCAGGGTCTTACAATAAAATCTTTCACTGCCTTTCCATCTGGGGAAGCTCTCTGACAGAAGAAACTGTCCCTGCTGGAGTTTTGGATGATACCAGGTGTTTGTGCTCAGTTATCCATGATTTCAGGCACTTTTGGGCTAACATGGCTGTGTAATTTAAGTCAATGCAATAATATTAGCAATATGTTCAATACTCAGAAGGGTCACTATACTTTCCTTCATACACTGAGTATTTCAAATTCTTCTTCCAATTCAAATAGCTTGTCAGTAGATTCAATGAGTTCTGAAAAATAAATTAAACAATTTAGAATGTAAAGACATGCCTGATTTTGTTTACTAAAAAAACCCTCAAACCCTCCCCCCCTACACTTTGGAAATGCTGCCTTTGAAATATTTTCAAAGATTTAAAAATATATTGTGCTAACACTTGTAAATTGGACATGGCCTGTTTGGATAACTGATACTCTGTAAGAGTAAGGCACTTAATCATGCAGTGATTGCTTGATCCTCAGAAAAGCCCAGTTATTCCACCTGCAATGGTTCTCCTGTTCGCTGAGGAGCCCCACTCTGCTGCCCAGCAGCACTTTCAGTGGTACCACACCTGCTCCCGTGGTCGTCACTTCTGGCTTGGTAGGAGGTATGAAAGGCGGCCAGTGTGGTGGGTGCTTCTGGACCAGCTCAAACATCCGTAGGCTCTGTTGCTTTAGAATCTCCTGAGGACAGAATACAAATCAAAAAACTGCCTGCTTAATTAAAAACATTTCAAATACTGTATATCTATCAAAGAAAAAAGGCTGTAAATTGCTGTTATTTCAGGTACCTGTCGTCATGAATCACTGCTTCACACATCTCTAGTATTGTACTACTTGAAAACACACCTGGAAGATGGATCTCTTAAACTCTCCTACAAGTTATCACTGCATTATAATGAACTTTGATGTCCATACATTTATAATTTTGTTTACATGGAGCAAATAGATACCAAGAACATACCTGCCTTTTAAAAGTAAATTACTTGCTTGGACCTCTCTGTGTTCAAGTTTTCTGTTGATCAATGGGAACAAAAGACAGATTTATCTACCAAAAAATAATCCAACATATTTTGGAAGATAGGTTTTGATCAGGAGAAACAAGTTATTACAGAAGCAAAATTTCACTGCTATCAGGTGAGCTACACCATATCTTCTACTTCAGTTATTTACAAACTACTTTCTGTAGCCTTTTTTTAAATAAATGCTTTTGGTTGGTGGTACCTCATATTCACATTCCTGTTGCTTAATATTCCAACTGCTTGCTGTGTTTCTCAATAAATGACTTAGGTATGAGCCATGAACACAGTACTGCTAACAGAACACAAACTCAGGAAGGGGGTGTATGTACTTGTTCTCCCAGTGCCAGGGCTCAGGATTGCAAAACGATGAACAAGCTCCATAAGCAGTGTCAGCTCTCCCCGATCATTAGTACCACCTTCACTGGGGATCATTTGATTTGCAGGCAGTAAATTTCCATTAACCAAAAAAGAACAGTATCCATGATTTCATACAGAGCAAAAAAAGATAGTAGTATTACCTTTTGTACAAGACTACACCAGTTATCAAAATCACATTCTTCTTTGCAAAAGAAGCCCTAAGGAAAGAATACACATTGTAATATTAAATACAATATGTCAATGAGCAAAGATGCTGTAGTATCTATGTAGATTTTATCTCAAGTGACAATCACCAATAACAGAACCAAAGTATATTTCTCTTCAACTACCATAGTATTCTTGTGACCTATACTAGATGACTTCTACAAGTAATTCCACTTGAAGATTTGTAGATTAAATAAAACAAGCTCAGGTAAATATCTTCTCGAGAGCAACCAACACACAGATGATAGTGATGGAATAAAATAAGGAAACCTGATTCAGTTCCTTACTTTGGAAGGAAAGGTCTATGGAAAAGGTCTATGTTGCCCAGGAAAGCTACTTAATTGGCTCCCTGGGATATAAAAAGTTGATCCCCTGCTTGAGCTAAAATTAATGTATCCTATGCAGTTAATATGTAAAGTACTGTGTGGTGAATTTTAGATTGTAGAAGAGTGCCCTGTGAGCAAGGAAACATGTTTCTGTCCTCACCAGTACACAAAAGTACTGCTATGAATAAAGTACACACATTTATTATTTTCTAACACCTACTAAAGCTACTGAAGGGTCCAAATTCATGATCTTCATTCTGTGTGGGGCTTGCTGGCAGTGGAAGCTCTTGTCATCAACTGTGCCATTTTCTTCTGAATCTACAAAACTCTGAGTGGTGTGAGGGTCCAAGTAGATCAGCTCATTGCCTGGAGGGGTAAAATCTATATGGTGATAACAAGCAAGAGGCAGTAATAAACACTTATTCCGTCCAGACTTGTAAAACAAAAATTGGATTATCATCACAGTTATCTTAACCCTCTAGCTACGGAGTCTTTAAGAGAACTGGAAAGCCAGGCACAACAGTATCCCACAGGGCATTTAGTATAATTTTTCACTGTTACCTTTTAGGGTAGATTTTTTGGATGTTTTTTCCTAGCTTTGTCACATACTTTCCTTTCTCTACATAAGGTCCAGTACATTTTAAAAAAAATTTCAACTGCAGTAATCCCCAACATTCCTCAGATCAAAGATACAGGATGACCACAAATGCAATCTGTAATCCCATTAGGCATTCACTCAGAAATTGAACAAATAAGTCTGACTAAAACAGCTCAGGTTTTACAAAAGAAAGAACAAAATATCCAAGAAGTTACAGATCAAACCAGGGTGAAATATGAAAAACTGAATCTAGGATCAACTATTGCATTAATTAATAAAGAAGACATAGAAGAAGGTGAAAGACATACTGCTTTGAGAAAAAAATTGAAAAATATGACACAATAATTTAAGAAAGCCAGGAAGCAAAAGAATAAAACAAGACACTCTTCACTAGAAAGTATTAATGATTAGAAAAAATACAGTATTTAAGCAGCAGTGACATCTGACACTTGTTGTATGCTATCAACTTTTCTTAGTGTCTTGTTCTTGCTTATATCATTCCGTATTTTTATGTCAAGCTTTGCTGCTCCTTTTCTCTTCTTACGGTCTCATACCATTACTGAAGTGTCTGAGGTATGTTTCTTCTTGTCCATTCTCATGCTTAAAATGCTTACTACTGCCCCTTCCCAAAGAAAATCCTTTTTCTTTCAGTCATATGGATATTTGGAGTAAGTTTCTTTCTTCCTTACCTAAAAATCCTATAAAATAATAGGCATTATTGGGTTTCCCTCCTAATGCTCCCAAAGACTGTGGCATCTTAAAGCATTCCTAGGAGTCCAAAGAGAGAAAAATTAAATTTATTTGTTTATTGATGTAACAGATACCTGAACTTTTTCACAAGTCACACACACACAAGTCACTGAAGAATCCCTTACTTTAAAAGCATCAATATACACTGGATTAATGTGATTAATCCCTAGCCGGAGAGGGATAATGAGCAAGAGGGGCTTCCAGCCTGGGCACAATCCTGCTGTGTTCTTGTTTTGGCCAAGAGCACTTCTGTGCAAATGTGCACTGCTGTGGGCAACGCCGCTGCTCTGGGCAGGGGACCAGCACATCTTCTCTGGGGGAATGAAAAGAAAGATCAGTGAATGCAGAGGAACACATAGCAGATCTTCCTCTCAATCATGAATTAAATTACTTTTCCAGACATCTTTATAGAGCTCCTGTCTTAAGACAAAAGAAGCAGGACATGGAAATCCTGACTATTTAGTAGAAGTAATTCTGGCAGTCAGAGTAGGTGCTGGCACATTAGTGAGATATGAGAAAAAAGACTGAAGTTACATTTACTACTTGCAGTACTAAGGCTGTCATGCTTTGCCTGGGAGATGATAAAGCAGAGAGGAAGCAGTAGAAATTCTTCAGGGAACTCTTCACTTCCAGTGATGTAGACATAAAATAAGCAGAAGGGAGTAAAGTAGAACCAGGCTGTGGCTAAATACCACTTGTAAACCCACGCTTCTTACAACTGAAAATGGGGCACGTTTCTGAAGGATCTGCCCCTCATTTCCCTTTTGCTTGACAAAAGCAAATTTCCAGCAAACTCTATTATTACTAGCAATTCTCTGTATTTTTACATACTGCAACTTGATTCCATTGCTGTAGTGGAAGTTAAGGTAGCACAAATCAAACTCCACCATCTCATCCACATGGTATGTAAGTTGGTCACCAAAAATGCCCCACTGTTCTGTGCTAACTTTACTTTTGGAAACTCCAAACCTGAGTATCCATTTCCTTTATTCCTTTTCTTACCCTGGGAACAAACAGGGATCATCCCAAGATTTTGCTCATACTTAGACACATTCAAGAGAGTGAACTCAAATAAAAAACTGTCACCAAGGAAATAATCACAGAATCATCAAAGCATTTAGGCCAGAAGAGACCTTTAATGTCATCAAATCCAACCATTACCGTAATGCTCCCAGAAGTAGTTTGTGCAAACAATTAAATTTGCCTTGAGCTTGAGTTACTCTTTAACACCTGCTGAAATACTAAAGCAGTCCTGCAAAAACTCCTGTTTCACTTACTGATGTCTTCGATGACCACTGTATTGTCCATAGATACATAAACTGCTAATGAATTCCATTCATCAAATAAAGCAAGCTTCCTAGAAAACACAGAGGCAATAATTAATAAAAGCTTACTAGGACCATGAGAGTAGCTTTTAACTCAGGACAGTTAAATGGTTCTTGAGTAAAAAAATTCATTTATTTGGAAAAAAATTGGGATTTTTTTAAGTCTCCATGTAATAGAAAGATAACTTTTAGTTTAACATATTTAGAAAAAAATAACAATGAGTAGTTCCAGGAGAAGTACACACCTTGTACCATGTGAAAACTGTTTTGTCCTTTTGCCAAATGCAGGGATAGTAACAGCTCAACCACATAATTAGGTGTATTATTTTTTATTGCAATTAATGGATTCTGCTGTGGGATTCTGCCTATGGTGCCTGACATTATATAGAGAAGAAAGAAAATTCTTATACCAGTTTTTCACATTACTTTGTGCTTAAGAAGTTCCACTAAACTAAGTGGAATTATTTCAGGTTGTTAAAAGCCAGAGCAGCTCAAGATTTTGGCACCCAAAAGCTAGGAGGGTGGCATAATAGGACATAGGTTTCCGTCCACTTTGTGTGACATCCAGAACTCTGGGGAAGGGAGCTCTTAGGCTGAAAAAGCGGTGTTGTTAGTTTAAAATAAGCCTGAAAAACTGGTAGTGAGTTATGAAGAATCTGTAAGGGAAAGGAGCTGGAGGCCAGGACATCCTTTATCTGCTTTCTCTCTCCAGAAATTGTTTGTCCCAGGGCTGCAGCAAATGGTACCCAGGACCTGCAGTCCAGGCTCCACCTGAAATCTGGCATGGTCGCCTATCCCTCAGCAAAGTCAGCTCTAGTGCAGCTTCCAGACTAGGAGGAGTTTCCATGTTTTCTCCAGCAGCCTCGGGCAGCACTGCACAGTCTCCGAACCCAGCAGCCCCGGGAGCACATTCCAAGGGAGCCACTGACATGACTTACTTCAGTACTTGAGCAACTGTATTTGGTCCAAACCATTCTCCAATGGACTTCCCCTCTCCAACACCCATCTGTGCTGTTTTTGTAAGGGAAAACACACACAGAAAAAGACCACAGAGAGGCTGGTCATAGTCTATGTCAAATAGCATAGCCTACTAATACCTTGACAAACATTCTAGAGCAAGTGCAAGCTGTATTTAGCAACAATTATTTTCTCTATCTATACTTTTTTCAAAACTTAATGACTGTTAGTTCCCTTACAAAAAGTTCCTAAACTGTACTGACAATTACAAATATGTCCTTACTTACAAATTACAGCAATAAGTTTTATGACTGTCTATTTTAATACTATCAACTCTGCTACCCAAAACTTGTACACTTTATCAAGAGCTAGATTCTAGATTATAGATTTATTTAGGTCTTAGTGAATAATATTCCTGAATTATTATACTTTGTACCCACTTGCATACATTTCTATTTATATATAAACATATACATTGTCTTCATAATCACCTTTTAAAATTTTTAATTAACTTATTTCAAATGAGAAAGTTTCAACACCACAGGAATTTCAGTAGACAAATGGAAGTTGATGTGTGTTCTTACCCATCTGGTGGATGGAATAACAGCAATCTTTTCGATCCAGAAAGCACCGTAAGATTCTATGATATTCTTCTGGTTGTTTTTTGTGTTTTTCCCATTGCCAATCTTACAGGAAAAAAGTTATGCTGATTAAAAAATAATGTTTTCATTGTACTGATCAAATTTCTAGATGGCAGAAAGCCATACAATGAGAGCTTAAGAGACAATGCATTTCTAATATTATTTAGATTAATATAATTTTATTTAGAGTAGAAGTCACACCCTGTCATTTATTATCGAGCTGTCCTTAATCATCAAATGCTATCATGTGAAAATTGGGAAATTAAAATAACAATGCCAACTGCAAGTATACTCTGAGTAATCACTGCTGAGAATTGATTGCTAGTGCTCCGTGTGAGCTTCAAAGACTATTTAAAACTATCTGTTCTGTTTGGACTTTATTAGATTTGCAAGCATTTGGAGGATAATAAGACTCATAAAACAAAGTTCAAACACAACGCTGGCCCTCTCCCACAGCAAAACCCAAACCATGGCTTTGCCATGTGAGCTTCTGCTTCTAACATAAGGTAGTTACCTCACATTTACTAATAGAGAAGCACATACAGAAGGCTAATGCTATTTAGACCCATACTGCAAGTTCAAGGTCTAGTTTTTCTCAGGTAATATGTTTATTTGCCTACTCTTTCAGTTAAATCTTTGCACTACCGTTCTGTGGATTCAGTTATTCAAGTGGATAAATCCTTCTGTGGATTCAGTTATTAAAGTAGTAAATCCACAAATCATGCTGCCATAGAAACCATGTCAAAAGAGCATAAGAATCACAGACCCAACCATAGCAAGGTAATTGACAGAAGAGTGACACACAGAGCAGACTTAGACACTCACCTGTGACCCGGGGATATGGAGTGTTAGTACAGGATTAAGAGCAGGCACTAGTGGGTTCTACTGTGGGGTTTGGACTCAGGCTGATGATGGGTGAGTGGTTTGTGAAGTACTTTGTGTGGTGTCTATTACTCGGTCACTATTCACACCATCACCCTGGGCTAGCATTTTGGTGGCTATGAAAAGAGGGGAAGAACTCAGACCCATGGTGGCAAGTTTTCCCTTGGCTTCAACTTCAACTATAAACCAAAATATATATCAAATAACAGCAGGATTCCCTATTTGTCTGTCCTTCCTCTGTTTTTGTTTCTCTGCTTAAGGCTGACATGATTTTGCCTCATCAGACAAGAACAGTTCACTAACAACTTTATCAGGGCATCACAGAAAGTTTCATTAACAAATTTAAGTTTTATGCTTTTATGGAAAATTACAACAAAAATTAAACAACCTCCAAATAACACAAAAGTTGCCTCAGCAACAGTACTCACCTCTTCCTAAATGTCTGCAGATCAGTGCCTGGGCCAGCATCATCTGCCCACACCTCAGCATGCATCCCCAGCCCGCGTCAGATGAGGGACCGGTGCCCCCTGGGAACAGAGTTGCTCACAGTCAGCAAGGGCTCTACACAGAGCCCAGCTTCTGAAAGAACCTCACATTCAAACCTCTAACAACTGTCATACAGGTTAAAGACACTGAACCAGCTCCTTTCTCTCCACAGTGCTGGTGTCACTTCACAGCTCACTCCACAAACATGAAGATGTGATTATATACAGGTACAAGCAAACACTGATTTTAATAGTTTTAATCTTTTGTTTGCATACACAGTTAAATTATGATCAAAACGTTCTAGTACTGTAAAAATAACTTTTCAGTCCCCAACATCATCACTAATCCTGCTAATCCATAATGAGGCAGCTGGAATGCTGCATACTCACCAATGGGCGAAAACTTTCTTCTATACGTAAACCAGAGACGAGCGCTTATATCCAACAATAACTTAGATTTGTCTGGAATGATTTTAAGAGGAAATAAATTATTAAAACAGACTTAAAACTGAAAAATTAAAATTATCCCTGCATAGTCAATATAGAGAGTGCATGGAAGGCTCCTGTTAGCTTTTACATACAAGACCTTTAATACTTAAAACATTTTTAGCAGTTTAAACACAGAGATCTTATGCAGACTGCTAATTAAAGTTAACTTATTAGGTATTAAATCATTATTAGCCAATTAAACTTTACAAGGTGTTTGGAATGACTATGCTCAGCCTGAATAAAACAACTATGGAGAACCATGCCCTCAGGAAAGAACTGGTAAAGGTTAAGATGTTCTACATGCAAATCAACATGGAATTATACTTTACCTCCGAACCCAACAGAAAGTAATTTTAAGAAAAGGTTAATAATGTTAAATTGAATTAAACCTCTCTCTTCTTTTTTGTTTGTTTAATCATATGCACTTACAGAATTCTCCAAAGGCTCTGAATAATGCTTAAGAATCCTATTTGCTGCATTTTCCCTTAGCTGCGGCTCAGACTGGCTGGCTTTTCCAAAGGATTCTCCAGCTGATCAAGGCTGCATGCAGCACCCTCGGCTGTCCTGAACACCATGCCTGCATTGGTGGCCACTGCTTTTGACATGTACCACAGGAAGATGCCCCTGTCTTCTCCCCAGGGAGCAAAACTCATTTCTGAAATCTTATTTTTATATAAACACATTACTTTGCTCCAACTTTTACATCATGTATTTATTTTCACTAAAATGCAATATGTACCAGAGATTAACTTATTATTGTTATTTGAAATATCATTGTAGTTGCAAGTAACAGGCTGCAGACAGCACCCCTCATAGGAAAATGATTTCAGTAATGCTGAACATTTCCAGGAAGTTATTTATATATTTTATTTCTGAGGCCCTGATGTTGTGAAGTGACAAGGCTCTCATCTGACAGCCTTTGCTATGAGTGTGGTCGTATTTCATGAATTACAGCTGGAAGCACATTGGCCTTGGTTCTGATTGCTGTACAGGAGGAATTCCACTGCTTATATCTGGTGTCTCACTGATGAAGAAGAACAAACTTCCCTCATGAGACATTTAGGGAACACAAGGAAATCAGGAGCTGTTGCTGCATGTGAATCTATGAATATTCTACAGGTATTACAGACCATTTAATTCTAAAGATACCTGTGTTTAGGTGGTGTTGCCTTCCTAAAATCCACACTGGCTCATCAGTTTCTGGAAACTCTTCTAAGTAGTCTGACAAAATAGTGATCTGGTTTTCATACCTAGATAAAACTGAATAGGAATACACAAAATTCAAACTCTATTTTATCCCCTTGCTCTTTTATGCACAACTTGGAGCTCTCAAACCAGTTGTAGCGAGTCTTTGCAGCTTTTGGGGCTTCTGAGCAATGCGGCCAGCTGCTTTTAATTTTCTCCCTTAAAAGCTGTTCTGACACTAAAATAGTCAATGCCTTGGTTTTTATTTAGATCCTCTGTGAGTGCTGAGAACACTAGGAATAACACCTTGATTATAAGCAGTCTCACTGAAGCCAGTGACAGAAGTCCAGGATGACTGCAGTGAGGATGAGATTTGATTCAAGATAATAAGAAAAGGAAAAAAAAAATTAGGCACCACAGCTTGATCTGAAATGTAGGAAAAATACAAATCAGAGTGCTTACAGCCTCATGCTTAATGGGAAGCATGTGAAAAATGTTAGCAAGACTCGGCTTCACTGGCCCTTACTTTACCAATTGGAGATTTGAAACACTTAAGAAAAAAAATAAGCCTATTAATGTTATTATTCAATACCACATCTATTTAGTGAAAAATAACAAATTATCATTAACACCAAAATAAGCCAATCCCACCATTTTCTAGATCATTAAAATGGTGATTTTTTTGGAAGAGTGAAACAAACCTTCAATTTAAAAATTAATGTAAAGTCATTTAAGGAATATACTGCTAAAAAGCAGAAGTTAAACATGAAAGCAAACAATTTATCCTACTCTTCAAGTAAGTGGACATATATCCAGTAGAAATAATGAATAGTCACCCAGTAAATAAATATATATATAAACAGTAAGATTCCATTTAAAAAAATATACATTTCAACAATCAAAAAGGAGCTGCACCATCCTCTGGCTGGAGCACCAGGGCCAGCACTGCCGAGCCCCCACATTCACCGTCCTCGTAGGCAGTAGTTAAAACACCACGACAGCCTCCTCTAGGGCTGTCAGCTCAGCAAAACAACTTCTCGCACCGTGCTCTGCATTCTCCGTCAGAAAAGCCGTCGCTCACTGCACTTCGAGAGCAAATTACCTATTTTTGACTCTAAAGCCTTAAGACACTTTCGACCCCCGAAATCCAACCAGAGGCACCTGCGCCCCCTTCGTGGCCACTTCTCTCGTCCTCGCTTCCGTAGGACACCTCGGACCACAGGAGAACATGCCGCCAGGGCTTCTTTTTCCTTCCCGGGGTCTCACTCCCCTTGCCGGCACTCCCCCCACAGCGCTCTCCGCCGAGCTGCAGCGCCTCACGGAGCGGAGCTGGCAGATCCAGCTCCGGTCCCTCGGCTCAGGCCGCCCCGCGCCCCGGCCGAGCCCCCTCGAGCCCGGGCCCCCACCCGCTGGCCCCAGGAGAGGCCAGGCAACCCCTCAGGACAGACCGGACGGTACCGCACGGTGCCACCCACGCCACCCCCCTGCCCCTTAGCCCGCGGGCGTCTCCCGCTGCCGGTGGCTCCACTGGATCCCCGGAGCCCCGGCCTGGCCCCTCAGCGCCGTCCCGCCAACCGTGCCCGCGCCGCTCACCGGCCTCCATCCTCCCGCTGTCACCATCCTCCTCCCCTTCGCCCCGACGCGGAGGCACAACACGGCCAAGCCGCGGGGCGCCCTGGGAACTGCAGTCCCGCCGCCCGCCGGGAGAGCACCAACCCCGCCCCCACGGGACTACAAACCCCAGCAGCCCTCGCTGTCGGAGAGGCAGGCGGAACAGGCGGGCAGGCGCGATTGGCTGGACTGGGCCTCGGCGCTCTTCTGACTGGCGGCTTGCGGGCTTGACCCCGCCCCGTGGGCGGGGTGGCGTGGGGGCAGCATGGAGGGTGCGGTGTCGGACGTGGCTGTGTGTAACCTGGCGTTCGCGGGGCGCCTCGAGGAGTTGCGGGCGCTGCTGCTCCGCGACAGGGCCCAGGCCACGCGGGCTGATCAGGTCAGCTGGCTGCGGTCCTGGGCGGTCTGGGGGTAGCTCCCCGCCGGGCGGCTCATGCCAGCCATTCCCCGTCCTTGCCCCGCTCACCGCTTCCTTCCCGCAGGATCACCGCACCGCACTGCACTGGGCCTGCTCGGCGGGACACACGGACGTCGCAGACCTCCTCCTCGGGCTTGGCGTGCCTGTGAACGATAAGGACGATGTGAGTGCCGCGGCCCTACCCTTGTGCGGCTGAGGGAGCCGTGGGCCGCTACGTAGGGACAGTCCGGGTGCGCAGATGCTGCCGGGGCCCGTTGCTGTCATGGTTTCAGCCGCAAAAGGGCCTTGAGAGCGGCCAGGGCCTGTTGTACGGCTCCCTGCCGCCCTCTACCCCCTTCTCCCATCGGCTGGTGAGCCCGGCGCGATATGTGACACTTGGGAGAGTCCAGGCTGCTCTGTGTGCGCTGGGGAGACAGGATGAAGTATTTCACAGTTCGTGTGGAAATAGGCCTGAGGAGGAGATTTGAGACCTGTTCATTGTCCCGGAATTTTTAGGAGAATTCTTGCATAAAGAAGGAAATGTCTCATCAGTTTAGAGAATAGGATATAGAAAAAGTTTTTACTACTTTTCTACTACTGCTGTTTGTTCTTAAAAAGACACTAGTGTAAATACTGCAGGGACAAAGTGTTCTGCGAAGATACCATGCATAGCTGCATATCAGAAGTGATTTCTCTCGTTTAACTGGCAGCTTTTTCCAGGTACTGAATGCAGGCATGTAAGAAGACATGAGCCTTGCATATAGTGAAAATCAATGTTTACCTTTACACTGGTATGAATATGTGCAGTGTGAAAATTGTTCAGGTTTGTCTGGGTTATGCATTATCATGTTTTTCTGCCTGAAACTCGTGATTTGAATAATGTGGATTTCTTCTTGCCTCTGTAGGCTGGTTGGACTCCCTTGCACATTTCTGCTTCAGCAGGCCGTGATGAAATTGTGAAAGCCCTTATTGCTAAGGGTGCTCATGTAAATGCTGTCAATCAGAATGGCTGCACGCCCCTGCATTATGCAGCCTCCAAAAATAAGCAGGAGGTATGTTTACCTAAGCAAATGAAGCTGGTAGTGTTCTTGGAAGAAGGATTTAGGTATATTAAGTCCACATCCTCCTCCCCTGCTCCTTTCTCTTTCAACATACTCAGATTGCAATCATGCTTTTGGAGAATGGAGCAGATCCGGATGCAACGGATCATTTTGAGTCCACCCCGTTACACAGAGCAGCAGCCAAAGGAAACCTAAAAATGGTACAGATCCTTGTGCAGCACAATGCAACTGTGGATATGCGGGACTCTGAAGGAAATACTCCTCTGTAAGTAATTTTAAAATTTTGTTTAATATAGCATAATTTCCGTGAAGTGAAACTCCATTACTTCAATGTCTTTTTATTTTTTTAATTTTTCAGTTCCTCAAAATACTCTCTTCTTTCACATCCCTGTGCAATTAAAAAGTATTTGAGAAAGTCATACTTAGTATTTTGCCTTAGCGGTCTGCACATGCATACTTTAATGTGTATTACTGTATCTACTTAAAGAGTGTGGAACATGTTTTGTATTAATCTGGAACATGGTTGCTGCTACAGGGTAGAAAGTGAGCAAATGACATCAGAGTCAAAGGAAACTGGTCTTGCAGGCTGGTCTACTCTGTCCTGCCAAGCAAGAACTCATTTCAGAAGCTTTTCTTCACCTCTAAAGAAAATAAGTTGCAATTGAAGTACAATCAGCCCAGTGTTTGTTGTTACCGTAGAGATCAATTTGAATCTGTAAGGGTTACAGCTACTTTGAAGTTGGTGTCAAAACCACAGTGGAATACAGATTTTGCTGTGAATAAGATCAAGCAGTATGTTTTAGCTGTACTTAAACCGCAGTATAGCCCTGGAATGCACACAGTTCTTCCTAGGACTCTGTGCCAAATGGAAAAAAGCATTTACAGTAACTCATTATATTTTAGCATTGGACAATTTATTTCTCACCTTCAATTTAATAAAGATTGCCATTTTCCATTCTCACCATGGATTATGTTCTGTTTAGCTTTGTTGTCTGCAGAGCCAAATCCTAACCCAAAGAACTGTCTTAACATTGCAAGGAGAGCAGTGAGAGGAATGTTCTTGAGTTGCTTAATGACAGCAGAGTGACTGGACAGCAAGCTTTGGAATCTGTCTAGGTAGTTGGCTGCTTGTGGATTTGTTGTTCTCAGATGTGTCTCCCCCCAATATTCACACTGTCTTTTTGGCATGGGGTAATTATTGCTCTTTAAACTTTTAACAGTGGCTGTGGGTTTCTTGTTCTCACTGCAGTCATTTAGCCTGTGATGAAGAGAGAGTGGAGGAGGCAAAGCTGCTGGTGTCTCATGGTGCAAGTATTCACATTGAAAATAAAGAAGAGCTGACCCCACTGAAAGTGGCAAAGGGTGGCCTGGGAGCCATCCTTAAAAAAATGGTGGAAGGCTAGAGAGGGGCTTCCCACTTGAGTCTCTCCTGTTGTACTTCTACTTAAGACTGCGAACTTCATATTTTGATAGTTCAACTAGGATGTTATGTGTAGTATCAGCATGGTAACAAAATGTTTTTATTGAAGCTGTCCTTCAAGTGCAGTGCCAAAACAATTCTTTGTACTTCCTGTTAATTAAATAGTTCACTGAATTTAAAGTATTTTTCAATATCTCGCAGTTTTCTTTCATAAGTGTGATGTGTATAAATGTGGTATTCCTTCTACTTCAGATCCCAGTTTAGAATTATTTCTTTCAAGAAAAGGACCAAAAATGTTCTAACCATGTAAAGCCAATTTTTGTTTTATTCTAGAGTCTTTGTTTTTTGTCTTAGCCTTTGTGATTTCTGTGTGTGGTTTTGTGGGTACAAAAACCCCACAAAATTGCCTTTCTCCAGATGATACTAAGCTACACTGTATTTCTCTTTGTAGAATGCAGTTTGTTCATTTACTTAGATAACTGTATCGATTTTTGCTACTCTTGATGTATTAAGTGAAATGTGAGTGTTTAAAGCTTTTCTGTTGTTACTGTTGTTATCCTGTTTTTCTCTGAGTCTTTAAATACATGTATTTGATGACGTGCACTGGACACAGGCACTTGCAGACTTTCAGGGTTACCTCTGCAAATACACTGTGTTATAATGGATGGCTCTGGATACTCCTCTGGGATGTACTTCGACTTTAATATTTTTCTTCTTGCTCCTTTTGTAGGTTTCTCCTTCTGTTCTCTTTGACTCTCATATGCAGCACTGACACTTGCAGTTTACCATCTTATTTTATAACAGAAGCCTGGTTTAACCTTTATTTACTTTAATTATTTGTAAGTTATTGCAAGGCAGAGTCTCAAAAGTGCTTCTGTCCTGATGTTGATAAGATTATTTTTGACACCAGTGGATAGATTTCCCCTTGAACAAAAGACAAAATTTGTAATAGACAGGTAGAAGAATTATAAAAGAAAGGCCTCATAAAATCAGGCCTTGCTCTGCTAAATTAATAGCTGGCTTTTTGCTTCTTCTAAAGTGCAGCTAAGTGGTTTGCAAGTTCCCGTGTGAAAACAGTCTTGGGAATGAGAGTTTGTTAACACAACAAACTATTCCTGGGTGAAAAACAACTGCACCTGGGTAAGCAATGGATTTGTCCCATGAGAATCAGTGAAGAAATATGTAAACAATTCAAGAATAGGGAGATTTTATGGACAAGTAAAATATCTTTTACTAACCAATAGAGTGATTGGCAGGAAAGCTATTAACCAATTATAGTTGCACACAAGGTCTGTAAAACCTGTATAAAGTGAGTTGTGTGAATAAAGAATTGGCTTTTCCTGCATGAAGAAAATGGAGTCTTGGCTGAATTATTACAACAGAAATTCTGTGAAATAAAGAACTTTCCTAAACAACAGTCTTTGGTGCTATAAAATTTTATTAAAGTTACATGTAAGAAAACCAGTATTTTTTAAATCACTTGTATGTTTGGGATGTGAATGACAAGATGAAACCCTGCCATCCATTACACATCCATTATGGATATGCAACATGCTTGACCTTCAGCCTCAAGGAATAGGTGACATGCAAGCTGGCAGTTTCTACAGTTTGACTTGGATTAAGATAATGCAGTTTATTTTGATAAGCAAGACAGGAGCTAACAACCAAACACATACCTTCAGCTAGGACTTTAAATATATCTTAGAATACAAAATGCAGGTTAAATTTCACTGAGGGGACTCATGAACAAGAGGGATAACTTGCCTGTACATGTAAATGTTTCTTATGTACTGCACAGGCACTGCTGAAAATTTGATTGGAGAGCAGCTGAAGCTAAGAGTTCTGTGTTCATTCTTGATCTTTGTGTAGCAAAAGACCCCTGTTCTGTAGCTTTGTAAATCCACTTCCTTAGGAGATGGTGGCTTGAATGTTGGCTTAATGTCTGGTGTCCGTATAAATGATCCCTACTCCCTATGGGAAGATAAATGGGCCATGCAGCAAAGACTGTTGGAACATCTAAAGCATATTCTGAAAAATGTTTCTGCATCCTGCGTAGCTTTTCAGGGTTTTAGAGCTACACACTCTGGATCAGTAACTAATTTGACTTGTGCTTTGCCAAGAGTATCAGGGGGAAGCTAGGAATGGTGCCCCATCCTTTTAGAAAAACTTTAGATACTAAACTCCGTAACAAGAACAAACGTCTGCCAGAAGGCTTATAGAAAACACCACGCTATAGTAAGTAACTCCAAATACATGTTATTTTCCTTACCTCCTTATTCTCAGCAGCCTGTTTTGCTTCTTATTTTGCCTTTTTACTAACCTCTGTTACTCACCGATGGTTAAAAGTATGAGAGGAATCATTAGTCAGGAATGTGGTCAACTGTTCCTATCTTTTATATAAAAACTTTAACATAACTTGAGCAATTTCTACTTTTTGAACAAATATAAAACCTGTGGTGTTCTAGGAAGACTATACTATCTATAGAAATTACTGACAACTTCACCAGCATAAGCACTTATCTTACTGTAGCAAGTTATGTAAGGAATAGCCGCATATAAATGTGTGGAAGTGAGATGAAGGAAAGACGAAAAGAAATATGACCACATAATAGAGTCGCCTCTTCAATCACAATAGTGCTGTTGCAGAGATGTGGAAGTTGGAAAGGTGTAGCAGTAAGAACAATGTGACAATAGCATGTACCTATGCAGGAAATGCTTTAGAAGAGCTAATACAGCTGTAGTGGTGACATGAAGACATTCATGTTTTCCTATGAAGGGCAAGAGTAAAAGAATGCTGAGGAATGTCACATAAATTATTGCTGCTGTCAGTCAAGCCTTTGGACCAATAACTGGTTTGAATTGTGTCATCAGGAAACATCTTCAGTAAGAAATAGCACCCAAAGAGCAGCAGGTAGTACTGACTGTTCCCTTGCTGTTTCTGAGTGTGTTTAATGTCATCATCCTGCAGGTTTATACAAATCGGCTGTCAATATCATATTTTCAGTAAGCTGCTTAACCTGGATGGCAGGATGTGAGTTATGAATTTGGCCTGGCACAGTTGTCACAAGAGTCAATAAGAGCTACCTGATTAAGGAGACTTCTGTATAGATCCCAGTTTGAAATTTACCCTGGATATTTTGAGGAGAGAGGAGTCTGAGGATCCACTGCTACAACATGGCAGTATTGGTATTAACAGGGGTGTGACCTTCACAGTCTGGCACAAACAGCTTTTGGCTAAAATAGTGCTAGAAGAACACCATTAATGCTCTTTTACTCTGGAATGAAGTAAAACACTTTGATAGAACATGTCTATCAAAGACAAATATTTGGAAGTCAGAAAACTGAGGAAAGGGCAATGAATACAGTTATGCTTGAGGATCCAAAATAAATCTTAACTAGGCTCTCATGCCTTACATCCTTAAATATTGCCATGTATTTATCTTTTTTCCTTTTTCCTTTAATTTTTTTTGACTCAGTATTTTTATAAACACACTTAGAGCTGTAGGAACTGAACCGGAAAAATTTGGCCCAGAAATCTTAAAGATAAATGTTGTATATAACTAATGTTTATAGTCTAGGAACAGTCATCAAGGAATTTATGAATATTAGATCCTGTGAAAATTTAAGTGCCAAAAAACTCCAGATCTCTGAGCCAGATATATTTTCCTGCAATGTATGGTACTGAAACCAGTGTCTGGCTGTGTCAGCAAGGTTGTGGGTCTGTATTTGCCCAAGTCCCATGGTTCTTGAGCTTTTCTGAAAGTATTATCTTCACCTTTTTGAAAAACTGAGTTTGTGTAACCTTAGAAATGAGGCCCAGGGAGAAGGATTGTCTAGTGACCCAGGTGTATATGGTTCAATTCCCTTATCTCCTTACAAAAGGGCACTCATTGCTCGATTGCTGGCTGTCGGTGTGCATTGCACCACTTACCTTCCCTCTTGATGCTTTGACCTATAGAAGATAGATTGTTATACTGTTATAAGAGACCAAAAGAAGTGTGTTTGTTGCTTAGTGGGTAGGACTAGCCTGGAAAGAGATTTAAATAATTTCAGACAGAGAAAGCAATCAAAACTCATGTGCTGCATAGAAGGCAGTATCACTGCTAAGTTTTGAAAGCATCTGTATCTGTGTGTCAAGAGGAATGTGATGCTGTGCATGCCTATAGGAAGAAGCCTTGCAAAAGATTTAGATCTCCAGCTCCTGTTATGTGGAACAGGAATCTGTGTCTGAACTGGGTACCTAAATGCCAGTTCCATTAAACTGAAAACCAGAATTGCTGAAACAGACAACTCTGGAATGCCGGTGCCCTTGGGAACTTTAAGCCAAGAAGGTCACTGTTAACAGAATGCTTTCCAGGTCAGGCAGCAATGGGGTAAGATTTTCCAGGATTTTTTTTTGTTTTTTTTAGCTTAAGTGCAATTCAGACACACAAGATTTTGACTCAGGTTTTAACATCTCTTTCAGCATTTTGATGACATTAATGTAACTTCTTTTTACTTCTGATGTTCAAAATCAGTTTCTTGAAACACTGCAATGTACTGGCCATGATTACTGCTCTCATGCACACAGAGCAGGTTGAGCCAACAGCACTGTTTCTGGAGATGGCTGCTGTGGTTTTGCATACACAGCAAAACACAGCATACTGGAAGTTGACTGGAAAGCTCTTACTTTGACAAATGCTTCAGCCCATTTCCTAATTAGTTTTGCAAAATAGGTTGGATAAATATATATGATAACTCTTTTTATACTTAAATTTTTGTACAGTATAACTAGATGACAAAAGAAGGCCAAATCTTCTGCTATTCACAAAGTGCCTGTTTAAGAGACCCTTTTTGATCCACCCCAGTGGCTCACAATACAAATACCTTGAATACAAGTTTTAGTCATGCTTCTATGTTAATTCAATTACAACAATTTTTATATAAAGGGGTCCAAAAGTGACAAAGAAAACTCTATTACAAACTCTAGACTCTTTCTTCTTTTTCTGCTTCTTGCTTCTCATCATTTTCAGGTGTTGCTGGAGCTGCTGTTTCATCAATGCTTGGGTATTCATTTGTTGCATTGCTTGATGGAGCTGTGGTTGTAGGAATGTTTTCTTCATTGGGTACCTGAACATAGTCTGCGTTGGATTGTTTCTGAGCCATTTCTCTGCAGAAATACAGGATTAGGATTGTGATCTCACATGTTGAAATCCTGTGTACATTAGATTCTTTCAAAATAATGAATCTTTGTATTTGCTATCTGAACAGTAACCCGAGTGCTATTATGACTTTTTCAAGATTGTGTGAAAAGCTTACAACTCCTTTGTGCTGAGACAGAGAGAGTGATAGCATATTAGCTAGAAAGACATCTGCATTGCTGGTTTAAGTGATCCCATTAGAATAAAATGGATTTTAGTATATTTAAATGTTGTGCCAGGAAAGTGGAAAGGGAAAGTGAGCGCTGGTAGTGTCTGAGGAGCAATAACAAAACTCACTGCTTGGTGTGAGCTTTCTGGGAAATTCCATGCAGATCTGGTGTCCCATTGAAGTGCATGAAAAATAGAGTTCAGTCAGAAAAGAATTATGAAAAAACTGAAATCTGGAAAAGTAATATAAAATATGTTTAGTGTTCTAGAAAGTATGGAAGTTAGAAAAATACTTTTAATAACAGGTATTAATTCCACTTATCTTATCAAAACGTTAATAAACCAACTCTCAATATTGAAGCACTTTCACATGGCAAAAAATATCAGATGCTAGTGGATTAATTAAGTACAGTAAGATTTATTAGGACCCAAGTACAAAACTAGATGTTAATGCTACATCAATTGAAAGCAGAACTCAGGTGCTCGAGTGACTGATCACTGGTCTGGGTTAGCAGAATTCCATATTAGGAAGTCTTAAACTTGTGCTACAGGGACATCACATTTTTTTTCTGGCCTCAGCTGCATGTAGTTATTTAGCATTTAACATCAATGGCCTGAATGCAATCTATATATAGTCTATACAGTATATATGTAATGCGATTATCCCTATTCTGAACATTTGGCAATTTAAGGGAAAAGTGAGCAACCAAAGCACAGAGAAGAAAACATCTCCAAGGCAGGAGCAAAATGGACATTTTGGGCTCCATTCTGTTGTTTAAACCTTGTGTTTCCTGCAATCTGAAATGCCCAGGAGTATCTCAAGTGTGTGTCCTGTAATTTCAGATAGCGCTGACCTGAGCCCTCTGTGTTTAAATCCCAATAAATTTATTGAGGTGACCCCTAGCTGCTCTTTCTTTTTACGTCTTCCACTGGCTTTTAAAAGACCCCATTAACTTTAAATCTAAATAGCTGTTTTTATAACTTGCCACTTTAGTTTGTTTTGTTTAAAAATACTTATTCCACTGTTTTAGATACTGCTAAGTGGTAGCTGCCTGTTAAAATAGGGAAGAGGGCAATGACACTTTCTGTTAAAAGAGCAACAGGTAAAAAGTCCCCCAAAAGCAGATGTTCACTCTGGAAGTTTTCTCTAAACTTGTATTATGCATTTTACTTTACTTCTGGATTAGCAGCAGTGCTTTACAGAAATAATTGTCTTAAAATTAGGCGAACAGAAATTCTTACTGGATCTCATAATTTGGTGACTTCCTATTTTTTGCCTTCTTGGTTAAGACCCAGATGATAATGCAGATTATAGCAGCTGCCAAAATTGCTCCAATCAGTGCTCCAGCAACAATGCCACCATCTGAATCTGCAAAAGAAAAAAAAAAAAAGATTACTTGAGTTTTTAAAAAGTAGTAGTAAAGGAAAATCCCATGAAAATTTGGTGCAACAGCCTTTAGCAGAAAGAAGGGATTAGGTGCAAAGAACTCTTTCCAGGAGGGTAGCCAAAGATTCTCCATGAAAGTGAGAGCTGTGTACTTGGATGGTCTTTGCTGCCTCCTTTTTCATTGGGTAGCTCCCTATCCCAACAAATTCTCTGTTTATGCCTGGCTACGGGAATCATTGGGCTGTAATACTGACAAGAGGTGAAAGCCTTTGCTTTTCAATCATTGCAAACAGATATTGAAATCCAGGTTGCCTTTGTTTCTGTCTTTCAGCTAGTGGTCACATCTACAATGCCCCAGTCCTTGTACTACCACATTTCACTGATGGTTGTAATTTCTGGGGTGGGCAGACCTCAGTGGGACAGTTGGCTGAAAGAAATTGCTCAAAACTCCTTGTCTGTCTGTCCTCAGTAAAATCTCTGCAGTCAGAACAAGGTCCAGCTTCTGCTCCTTGCAAGAAATTAAGGTGGGGATGTTAAATCAGTTTTCTAGGTCATTGTTAAGTCTAGGCAGGCCTGGATGAAAACTCCAGAGCTCTCCAAATCCTGTTCTGTTCTTACTTGAAAAAAAACCTAAGCTTCAAAGTTGTTAAACTTGCTCCTGCCAGCTGTGACCTCCATCAACGATACTTTCATGCCTTCCACTTACGTTTTGCCGTTAGGTCAAGCTCACAGGTGCTGTTCCCCAGGAGGTTGCTGGCTATGCACCGATAGTAGCCAGTTTCAAAAGTGGTGAGGTTGCCAATGTAGAGGATGCCAGAGTTTGGATCTGTGACAAGCAGGGAGCAGGTACACATTACTGTTTGTATTCTGTAGAGGCAAACAGTTCTCTGTAGTGGGTAACATAGAGCTATTCAGATATTAGGAAAAGGGTTCACCAATTATTGTTTTATTTGTGTGTTTTTTAATATTCTTTAAATATAAAACATTTACCTTCCTTGAAAATTGCTCCAGTGGATTCTTTGGGGGTGTATTAGAAGCCCCTACTCTGCCAACCACTCTGCCTGATGTTTTATCTACATTGATACTGTGGTTGCCTGTGTAACTCCACAAATGAAAATGTGACAGGTCCAGAAAATTACTGTGAGGGAAGAATGTGCTAGTATTTGAATGACAAATTGATTCAACTTAAATTCACTCAAAATTTCAAGGGAAGAGAGATGTAAAGACGTAAATACTTCTCTCATTTTAACAATTTAAAGGCATGGACAGGACTTCAACTTTTTTTTTTAATAGGAAAAGCATCCTGTGGTTTTGACAGCTGTCAGTTGATTTGAATAAGTAAAAATATGATTCTGTGACATTGACTATTGGAAGAAGAGAATAAATTTTAATTAGCCTATGGGATACACAGCATTTGATATACTGGAATTTCAAAACCTGGACATGGTACGTTAGTCCTGCAGTTACATACTAAGTTGTTCTGTCACAGGCTTGAGGGTGTTCTCATCAACTTTGTACCAGCGGTAGGTGGGGCGAGGCAATCCCTCTTCACAGTTGCATAGGAGGTAGATTAGATGGCCTTTTTCAGGTGTTCCTTCTACTTTGCAAAAAGGTTTTGATGGTTTGACTGTAAAATAAGAATGGAAACATCGGAAGTGCATACCCAGGGCTCCAAACATTCACCTCAAGTTCATCTCTCTGAGCAAAGACCTGAACCCCATCTACATGTTTCCTTCCAAGAGCAGAATCTAATTTATGAAACTGACCAAAGCCTCTCCCATTAAAAAATTGAGTAATATTAAATATGTGTACATGGCGTAGGATACAGTCTTATTATCTTCAATTTTCATACTAACTGTTGTTAGGGAGGTGTTGAGACTACAACTATCAATTATTTTCATTGTAATGGGCCACTGAATATTCACCATACACCATTCTGCCACATAGCAACATAATTTTCTTTAGAGACATGTTAGGAGCTTTTCCAGTGAGAGGGAGAAGATCAAGGCCCGATTCTTTCCACATATTAACAGTTCTGAAGGAAATAAGGCAGCTATAGTTCTGTTAAAAAATGTATCTGTTTTTATATAATGTCCTCACTTTGCACAAAAGGGAAGATTCTGTCTTCACTTATATACCCATTGTTTTTAATTTCCTACCTCCAGATAAGATTTTGTGGTTCTTTAGAGCACTATCAAGGGAAACTACCAGCAATGAACATAACCTAAACCAACAACTTTTCCTACTTTTCATATTAAAAGTGCAATCTTTTACTCAACTGATCCAAGGTTTACCATTTATTTTGGGAATTTTACATGAGAATTATCAGTAGTAGTTTGATTTTCAGGAAATGAGTTTACATGTATCATTTTCTTATCCCTAGAAGGTAGGCAAGTGATGTTGGAATCATGTTCCCACATGTCTATGATTTGTCACTCTGATCAGGTATGAATTCTCAAGATAAAAGAATTATTAGACATGGTTAGTACAATCTTCTATCTTATTAGGAAACAAAATATCTCATTCCACTGCTTTTGATTCTTTCTGTTCTGCCTGTTCATGGTTGAACTGTTGCTTTCTTCCATACAAAACAGACTTTGTACTGCTTTCATCCAACACGTACTAAGTTTCTAGAGGTTTTGGGAATTGATGTGAGTCAGAACTCTTGGGCTATGCTGCTACCTAGATTTATACAAGTCACCATGATCAACATTAGGTAAAATTAGCAAAGTTTAGGACTGTGCTGGGGATGCATGTAATGGTTTCAGTGAGAAGTTGTCACTCCCAGCTAAAATGGTGTTTTATTTTAACTTAAACTAGTATCATTTTGTTTTGCAGTATGAAAAATGGAGTGAAGTTGGGTAATTCTAGCCACCCTCTTACCTGCTTATATAAGGGAACTTTTTGAGAGCACAAAGTGATTCTGAAGGCCAGTGGTGGGAAAATGAGATTTGACTGCAGTTGAGGCAAAGGCAGCTGTGGAGTGGAACCAGGTCAGCTGTGACTGGAAGCTAGAGGGCACCCAGGCTCTGCGTTCCTCCAGAGCCCTTGGAAACACTGCAGCAGTGACTCAGGGAGCTTCCCTCTGCATCATGGACCTTGTTTACCACAGCCTGTTATTCCCTCAGTCCCTACGTATTTTGAGCTGTGAATTCAGTGTTTCATAATATGGGAAGAAAAAGACAATACAGCAATAGAGAGGGAAGGCACTTACCCAGCACATTGACGATCACAGATTTTTGACTCTGTCCAGAATCACCCTGAGGGCTGAAAACTTCACAGGTGTAGGAACCAGTGTCTGAGGGCTGCATGTTGGAGATTGTTATTGATGCATTCCCTGGACTTGCTGAAGCTGTTATCCTGTTCTTAAATGCTCCATAGAAATAAGAATGGCCTCCTGAATAATAATAGATCTGTGATAAAGAAACAATTGTTCGTTTAATAACAAAAGATCTTCTTTCTGCTTTGTTTGGTACTCAGAATATATTTGATTTCTGATTAAAGCCAAGCAATGTTACCCTCTTTCTTGCCTCTTCCCCCAAGAAATCAGAAATTAAAACATAGTACATTTGAATACATACTTCTAAAGGTTCTTAAAAGACAAGTTTTCAGAAATGGCATTTTTAATTGTGTAATTGACAGTAGCTAAATATTTGTGGATACTCCAAACACAGATTGATGCAATTGCAAAATCAAAGGTGAGACCATTGACCATCATTTGAAAATTTTGTGAAAAAATGCTAAGTCATGAACAGTGAATAATGGTATTAAGTGAAGCACTGATAATTGGTGATAGCATTAATAAGTAGCTCGCTAGAAGATTGTGACAAGGATGGACCTGTCATTGGGAAAGTTGGTAGCTGCAGAACTTTCCAAATACAGAGTCTGGCAAACGGAGGACTGAAATGAATTCACAAGACAAAGGTCTAAGCAAACAAGGCACTTGATTGGATTGCAATAAATTTGAAATCCATAAGGATGCAGTACAAGAACAGAGCAGTGTCATCTCACATGCAATTAGAGCAGCCATGCTGTTCTTGTTTGTGTCATCAGCGTTGGAGGCAGTGTCATGGACTATCTTGATTTTTTGAATTTATACCAGGGAGGCAGTAAAGAATACCTGCTGGCCTCAGTGCCTGTGGGAGTTCCTATTGGGGATCAAGAAGTTCCCCTTTTACTAAATAATAAAAAATTGTCTTGCAAAATGATAGACACACTAAGGATAAATGTTTCTAAGGAATGCAACATTTCCTCTCAAATAAAAATTGCTGATCTAACATTGACTGATTTCACTGATTTCAGTAGCATCAATTGCTCTTAGCAGCATTGTGGAGTAGAATTAGCCTCATAAGCCTGAACTTGTTGTCTGATGATGGAAAGGAGAGGTAGAATAGTGTTCACTGCAGAGCCTGGATGGCAGTCTGAGCCTTGGGCCCTGAATCTGTTCAGGAACTGTGGTATCTCATCTGCTCTGGGGTAAATATAATAGTTCTTAAAGAGTACCTACCTTCTATCCAATCTAATTGTGCTCTGAAACAACAAAGATGCGGAGAACTGCGATTCTTTAATTGTTTTTCTGAAGTGTTAATGATAGTGTTGTATGAAAATGACAGTGTCTGGGATAGGCAATATGTTTCCCCAGCGTCTGCATGCACACACTAGGCAAAGTGAACAGTTCCAGCACACTCAGTCATTTCTGTAAACTGGTGAGAGGTGTCCGTAGAGAATTACAGATTATGACCCAAATAGATCTAACATTGTTCCTACTGGCAGCATTCCAGAACTATCAATGTAAATGTATTTACTGAAGTTGAAGTAACAGCATGTTTTTTAATGGAAATATTGAGAAAATGCTTGTAGGAAAAAGTTTCACAGGCTCCTCTTCACAGGCCATTCTCACTTGACTAGTATCAAAATTTCCTTTTGGTCAAAGTTCCCTGGCTTTTAGGGATACTGCAGATCCCCAGGTGAGAGGTATAATTTGCTTTACTTTCAGATCAACTGATTGCATTTTGAATTAAGAATATTAATTCTTAATTCTATTTATCCTCTCTGATATGGTGTTGACTGAAGTCTTTAAGAAATGTTATCTAAAATCCTTTGTTATCTTAAGGCAAGGTACACTCCAAAACTGCCAGAGCACAGCCGGTTTATGCAAACATATAGCTTTGAAATGAAGGTCAGAATCGAGCTTGTGCAGCACCAGCAGCTCCAAGACTACAGCTTGGCCCTATCTCAAGAGCAGTTTTGCATACTCCTCAGCCAGACTTTCTCTTTCCCTGTTCCAGGATTACAAACACCAGGTACAATTGATGCAGGGCTCTGAACACCAAAGCACTCCCAGGGTGTGGAACACTGGTGGTACAGTGGGGAAGCATAACAGGTCCAGGGTTAACTCGATGACAGACCTGGTTGTAAAGTTTTAAAACTGGTTTTAGGCTTTGCAAATATCTAGAGATGGAACTCTATTGCCAAACCAGAGTTTGGATGGACACACTGTATTCCCTGAGGAAGGAGAGTGTTCAAAATAAGGAGTTTGGTTTAAACAAATCACTCATCAAAAAGTTGTCTACCTGGAATTACAAAAACACACTGACCACATTAGTCTCATTCTACATTTATCTGGGTGTGAGCAATAGCAGAATATTATTCATCACTGTTTCTTTCAAGAGTTTGAAGTTACAAGAACTGTGACTTCTGACTTCAGCCTCTTCTGAGGCTGATGTCCCTGAATACCTCTCAATAGTGATAGGCTGGATTTGCATCTCCTCTCCATCAACTGCACTGTTGTAGTAGGGCAGTGAAAGGGGTTCCATCAGCTCTTTACACTAATGTCAAATTAAGCTCTACAATGATTTCAATGAAGTAATGTGTGTCTTGCTGCAGCATGAGGAGTGGCAGGCCCATCACACCCTATTAAAGGTTTGATTGTTGGAAAAAGGGGCTAAATTCTACTCAATCTACCTCAGAGTAATCTGAGAGTATGTGAGAGTAAAGAGCAGCAGAAGGAGTCCACTGAATGCTCATTTAGATACAGTACATCTTCCTAAGAATAAGACTGGCATTTCAAGTCATAAATGCAGTCAGGGCATGCCAGTAAACACTGTAGAGGAGCAAGTGCTCCTCTGTATATCTGACCTGGAGTCAGGGTGAATTACATGCTTAAGTCCTCATTCAATGCACTGAAAAGCTAATCCCCTGTGTTCTCTCTTTCTGAGTCAATGAAAGCAGAGAAAATATTTTGTGTACGCTGTTAAATCTGAGGCAGGTATCAACACAGCCGAGACTATTTCTTCTCTTCATACATTCAAACAGAGTCTTCCTGGGTCATTTTTGTCAGCCATGAACATAAAGGCAGTGATACATTCTCAGGCAATGCGTTCAGCTCCTCTGCAGGCTCCTGCCTGTCCTCTGTTCTCTCCTGTTCTATGCTTATCTCCCTGGCTCTGGAGTTCATTGCCTGAAGGAAAGTGATAAACACCAAAAAGGCTGAATAAGTTCTGATTAATTGCTGAGTGCATATCTTGTCCCAGAGGTATGATTGGATTGTGTACACAGGAACTTTAATTTAAAAGGAATATGTTTCAGTTAATTGGCTGTGAATTCATAGTCCATTTTAAACAATACACTCGAAATGGGTATTTTAAACCCTGGTGCAAAGTAGTTTTATGGTGTCCTTGAAAAGCTGGTTTGTGGCTTTTGGAGAACTGAAATGAAAACCTTTGCAAAAGTGTTTCTGTTTCATCTCAAAAGTAAAAAACCTTATTTTCTGCTGAAGGTATAGAAAGCTTTTGGGGCAACTGCCAGCTAATGTTTCCTCCTACAGACACACATGTCATTGACTTTTCTTTCCATATTACCTAAAATGTGTGTATGGGAAAACTGGATATTTAGTCAATGGTAGACTTTTTCTGGAAACCCGTTTAATCTGGTGTGATAAATATGTTTTAAGTATACCATCTTGAATGCAAAAAAAAAGAAAAAAAAAAGAAATCTGCTGTGCTTCTCTTCAAACAATAAGCTTTCCATCAAACAAATGGTCCTCAAGCAAATCATGAGCAGCTCTAGTGAAGTCAGTGATTTACCAGAGCAGAAACAATATTGAGGGTGCATTAATGGTTGTTGGTCTTCCTTACCAGCTAATTTTTTCAGGCAAGTTATTATATATAATAGTGCCTTTTCACATTTCATGGAAGCAGCTGCCTGGGTGACTAATCAAACACCTGGCAGAAAAAGGAGCGGAGATTATCACTCCTAAAACTGTTGTCCCGAATAATTCATAATCTGAGACACTAGTTTCTGCTAAATGGCAAAGTTGCCCAGAAGACATCTCCCTAGCCTTAGAAAGGGTTGCAGTTTAGTTGGTTGTTCAACCTGTGGGCCAGGCAGTGCTGCCTCCAGGCAGACAGCAGCCAGCCACACTTCCATGCCTTCTGAGGCAGTGCTGTGGTTACCCTTCATGTCCACAGGCAGTTTCTTCTAGAGTGATGGTGTGGAAAGTATTTGCCTGAAGAGGAAGCAGTCAGCAGAGCTGATGCTGAGTTGAGGACTTTCAAAGGCTGCCAGAGGTTTGGCAGAGTGTGAGGAACCCACCTATAGATTTTTGTTGTATAGCTTCTGTAGAAAGATCTTCCTTAGGCTGTGAAGGGGGTGTGTGAAGAAGCAGGCAGGAAAATAGAAGAAATATGCCTCCCTCTGCTTTTCTTCTTCTTTTGACAGGACAAATACATACTAGAATTTGCGTAAAAATGTGCCTTTCAGATGGCTTTGGATGGACTCATTCATAATTTCAGGTCAATACTCCTCCCTCCTCCCATCTCCTGGAGTTACTGCATCACAAGGTTGTACATGCCTAGTACTTATGGATATCAAAGTTATAAGATGAGATGTACTTGAAGGTGCCTTACAAAATGTCCTGCTTAATCTCCACAGAATCCTGACTTCCTGACTGGGGGGCAGTTTCAGGACATGACCTCTTCTCTAGTACCTGTCTTTCCTCCTCCAGCATCTTCTCCCTTTCCCCCACCAGCACATGTAAAGCTCTAGCTTTCTGTTAGATGACGTTTTTCTGATGGATTCAGTTTGTGACTCAGTCTGCCTGGAGAGCTGGAAAGCTACAGCATCCAGAGGGCCCTGTCATTGTGCTGGTTTGTCACTTTCTGTTTGACATTTTCTCAAGCTACTAGAAAATGGAGGACATTAACAATTTTACTGGTTGGAGATCATGATCTCTTTTTGAATTCTGAGGATGGATAGAATTTATAAAATAACAAGGGGAGAAAATGTTCATCACTTCCTTAAGCATCTTACCATCAAAATAGAGAACAAATGCTGCACAGAGTATTAGTGAAGGCCCAAAGCTCAGATTCAGGTAGCTAAGAAAGCAAATATTCACACATGTGTTGGTTTCTTTGACACGTGTCACATGACTGAGTTTGGGCCCAAATCTCTTATTTCATCCACAGTTTCTTTTCACACATTTTTGTCAAAACTCTGATCTGCCTGAAGGTAGTAGGGATAATATAGGGATATCCCTTACTGGGTTTTTTGCGTAGGGAATTGAGGATATTAACAATGACAAGAAGTGTTTTGCCACAATAGTGCATTGAAGAAGAAGAAAGGGAGTCAGAAGCCTTTAGAGGATTATTCATTCAGCAGCTTTAACTGATGCAAATATATTGAAGGAGCAGCTCTTTCATGTTCTCATAGTATCGTTCTTGTGGCTCAACTATTAGTGAATAATTCCTACAGTGCATCAAGAACAAATGTGTTTTCTTAGTGCATTTGGTGTAACTGATCTTCATCAATTATTACCAAACCTCAGTTTACATTGGGCTGCACCCTGTACTTCATAGTGAGATAGGAATCCTGCTGCAGTCAGAGAGTTCAGAACAGATTATGGCTGGAATACTGAGCTGACAGCTGAGAGGAAGCTGGTTCAGCTCAGTGTCCTCGGTATCCATCATATCTCAAAATGTTTTTATATTCTAGAAAGGAGATCCAGGATGATTTTTTTCTATGTAAATATGTAGCCCCAAGTTTGGGCTATCCAGTCTTGCTCACATTCAGCCCAGAGGCTCCTGGTGGATGTACACTCCCTTCAGATACCCTTTGGATAGAATATTCCTAAAGGTGCCAGTTCAGCCACCTAGAATAGGTGGAGGGAAAACACCCCAACACAACAGCTACATCCAAAATAATTTTGACAGAGAAAAGTACAATAAAAATAGGGTGAATTAAAAATTCTGAATCATGCATCTGATTCAACTTATTTCAGTCATGCACTGGTTTTGAGATTTCAATACAGAATTTGAATACAGGTTTCACAGTAGCATAAATCTAGTAGAAGCTATTTAGCTCTGGTTTCCCTCTTAAGATTATGGGATTGTTTTCTTACCTTGTATCTCCAGCTACATCTTCCCCGTGCATCTGTCACATACACCATCTTTTGACAAAGACTGACTGACTTTTCGTCCATACTCAGAATACCGTGACACGGGGAATGCTGCATTTGAGTAAAAACGTGCTGATCTGAGAGTTAAATGAGACTTTAAATGTTCCCCCAAAATCAAAGAGCCACTTCTCCACACAGCTACTATCTCAGCTGATCACAAGGGCAGGGTGCCTCATGTTCAGTGTTTTGTGCAGAAAGTATTTCAAGCCTTGTCAACTGCAAGATGCAATAGAAGCTTATTCCTAAATTCCACTTAAAATTAGGCAAACTAAGATAAAATTCTAATATTTGCTCCAAACACTCCAGTTACAACCTGATTATTTTCTACTTGTCTGCACTTCCTTTTGTGATAACCACAGGCAGTCCACCATAGTCCCACTGACATCCAGAGTCACTCCAACTTCAGTGACATGACAACTGCATCTCCATTCCTCTGCATTGGAGGTGTTGCTACTGCTTTCCATGAAGTTGTTCCATACAGTGCCCTGTTCAGTCATCTAACTGCTAGATAAAATTCAGTTTTAAAAAATCACCTCTAGGCAGAAAAGAAATGCTTATGGATGAGAGCGGCCATTTCCAGGAAGTTTTCCTCTACTGCCTCAGGAGGGGGCTTCTCACAGGCTCATCTTTCTCATGGGCAGGAATGGACTGCTCTGCTCCCAAGCTGGTGTCCCCTGCAGCACTGACAGCCTCTGCAACACAAGATCTCAGGTGTCTTGTGGCTGAAAATATGTGAAGGTGTCCCCTGAACTGCTCAGACTACATGGAGGGGAATATGTTCTTTCAGAAGCTTTTATGGAAAGCCCCCACATGCAGGGCTGGCTGGCCTCTGGCTCTCACCCTGGGTAGACCAGTGCCCACAGCCGTGCCTTGCTTTGCACTGGGCAGCAGAGTTGTGCTGGTATTGCGACTACTGATAATCTGAATTTGGGATATCAGGGTGGAAGGAGCTGACACATCTGTGCTCAGGTCACTCTTCTTGCCTCTTTCCTGCTTTGGGCTTTCTCTCCTTGTCCCCTGTTGCTGACCAAAGTGCCACAAGTTCACTTTTAAAAAAGAGAAGGTTTTCATAAGAGGTCTACCAATAATTCTGCTTTGCCTAAAAGTAACAGGCATCCATGAGCTTTACTCAATTTTTCAATCAAGAATCCTGCCCTATGCACATCTTAGTTAGCCAGGTAGTGTCCCTGATCATTTCACTGACTTTAGCTGTGAGTGGCTCGGGCTGAAGGCTCAAGGTGTGGCCCGGGTTAGGTTCAAGAGTTGTATTAACTTTACAAGGCTGCAGCCTCGCCTTTGAAGAATCAACAAGGGCTTCAGCTTTCAAACATTTACTTAGGTGCTTTACACTGGGGCCAGCCAAGTGACTCAGAGCATGAAATGAAGCACAGATGTAGGTCTCAGCAGGAACTGAGACTTTACCTTATGAACCAGGCCAAGCTAGGATGTACCCTGGGTGAGCAGAATAGTGTTAGCCACAGTTTGTCTAGATGTAAAATAGATATCACTCAGTGTTGGAAAGTTCTCAAGATCCTTGGCTGGGAGTTATTATCTAAAACTTAAATTCAGCATTAAAGAACATGTTGCTAAGGGGTAAATGACAAAAAGAAGAAGTTAAAAATATGTATGACATTTTATTTTCCATTATTTTATACTTACATTATTAAGTTCAAGTGAGGGAAATTATTTCTACTAGACACACTTCTCAGGAAAAGAGCAGAGTTAGGCTCAGTTAGTAAAAAAGTTTATATTCACCCACTAAAGCTGTGCTGTTTTCAAAACAGTGCTGTGAACTCCTGGCTCTGTTTGCTTCCTCCCTTTTCTTTTTGCTGCCTGTGAGCAGCCTGGCTATGGTATCTCCTCCTTGCCCATGGTGCAGCTGCCGTGGCCAGAGCTGTCGAGCACCTGTGGCAGCCTGAGGAGGAGGGTGGGCAAGGCAGAACAGGGCATGAAAACACCAGAACAAGCAGCAAAAGATGAAACCAACCTCACAAAGGCTGTGCTGGGAGGTAGATCTGCATCAGTAGCAGGGCTGCAAAGTACTGAAAAGCACAGCATCCCCTTGAGGCAAGGTAAAATCTGTGGCTGAGTACTTAGGGACATTAAATTAACACTGGCCCTAGTCCTGATCCTGGCCTTACTGATTTCACTCCAGCCAGGACTGTACCTGAGCTTATGGATCTCAAAACACTGCAAAATCTGTACTGTAAGTGGCAGTGTAAAATAAAGGGCCTCTGGCCTTTGCTTTTTATGTTATATCCTAAAATCTAGTAATTTAACTCTCCCATTCATTAATGCTTAAAGCCTAAAGCTTCTTGATGGTATAGATTTCCTTAATTATATTTAACGTTTATAAATGTATATAATGTTTACAACTTGCTCTGTTATTTGTTGCCTCTGTAGAGAGAAAAGGCCATGTTCTCAATTGTTTGAATAAACAATATTTATTAAAATCAATTTTTTTTCCCCACACACATTTGATATTGAGAATGTCTCCTCTGCTTAATCTAATTATTTTGAGTATAGTGACCATGTGAATAACATGGTCATCAAGACCTCTAGCACTTAGTAAGATGTCAGGAATATTTTAAAATTTAGTAGGTGGGAGAAGATGTATTTTCTGTAATTTTTTGCAAAAATTGTAAGTCTCATGTCTTCAAAATATTTGGCAGAATTTTCCAATATTGAAAAATAGAATTAGAAAATGTTATTCAACTAGTTGCTGAAAAAAAATGGCAATTTTGAGTAGAGCCAGAATTTTCAACAAATTTTTCAGGGCAAATATATGCTATTTTGAAGGAAGTGTTTGGTATTTTTTTATGGATGTGTTAGAAGAAGCTAAATATCTCATCAAATGAAATTATTTTATTCCAGTTAAAATTCAAGCTATTGTTCTAGTATTAAGATGTCGTGCCAGTCTTTCCAATACAGTTGGGTTTGTCATCTTACTTGCATATTAAATACATTTTTGAATTGTGAAACTTAATTCAGCTATGTGCCAAACCACCAGGGCAAAGCCAGATTATCTTTTGTGTTTAAACTTGTGGGAGAAAAACATGTAGGCTTTCAGGCTCCCAGTCCTTTCTGAAAGTCAGAACAATAATTAGCCTGAAATAGAAATACCAGCTTCATTCAGAGGGAGATTGAAAATCCAACTTCATGTTCAGCTGTGTTGTGTGATTTCTTAAACCATATTTTCCACAAGTGATCACAAGCCTTTCTTCCCAGTGTTTGCATTAACACCATTAATTTTGTTGTGAATAGGTTCAAAATAGTAAGGAGTGGTAAAAGGATACAGGGTCAAGTAATACAAGACTGAATGAGCAGCAGAAAGAATTTTAAAAAGAGCAATGCCCCTGTCCTGCACCCTTCAGGGACACAGCAGGTTCTAGGGAGAAAAGGGAACGCTCTGAGCCTCACGGAGCATGCCAGCCCAGGAGAACTGGAGCTGCAGTGAGGGGAGATTGTGCCTTGGTGTTCAAGGAGTACGGGGTATGCACTAACCCATGGCCTTCCCAGATTGAACTGACTTTATGTAATGAAAATGCAAATCATCCATCACAAACACAGCTATTACAAATGTGTGAAAGTGAATTTGCCGTGAAATTAGTTTCAGACGGGGAAATCCACCTGCAATTTTTCCCAGTAGTGTTTCTCATGGACCTTATAGGTTCAGCTTTCCCATTGCCTGTAATAGGAGCCTCTAGAATCTGGGAGGGAGCACTAGAGGGATTGATCCATCTGGTAGTCTTGCATCAGTTGGTTCTGTTTGAGCGTTTTCTGAACTACCCACAGTGTTTTATGATTATAGTTTTCAGGGGGTATTTTTATCATCATTAGCCACTGTTTACAAACGGTTTTCCCCTCCCGAATCTCTTGAAATGGTGTGATTCTCTCCCTAAAATACTTATAACTGCTATCTGCTTATTTCCCTTGATTGTGACCAGAAAGATATATGACATTTAGTGTGTTGCAATATGGAAAATTTGATGCAAGTAGAACAGAAAGATTCTAACCAAACCTGGAGAAGACAAGGTTGATCCTGTGTCAGTGCTGTACTTCCCACTTGAACAAGCAATTAAAATTTAAGATGTAATATATTGGATCAGAATTATAATATATTGTTCTATATACAGCTTAGAAAACCTGCAGCTACCACCCTTGCAGGAATCATTCTTCATTTAGTGAAATCGTTTTAACTTGAGGAAAGCAAACAATGAATTACAACTATTCAACTACACAATCGGGCAAGGTATGCATACATAAGTCTGGCATTCAGCTAGAGTCAGAATTTGGGATGGGCCCAGAGTTTGTACTTAGCACTGATACAGGCTTTATCTGTGGCTGTGATATACTGCAGGTGAGTGAACAATTCTGTCTTAGGTTAAATTGCCATTTCTTACTTTTTGGCTCTTGCTATTCAATGCCAAATACATTACAACCTGCACATTCTGCAAATTACAGGCTAATTCTGCTGTTATTGGTAAACCAGATAGAAAGAAAGTACAACTGTATCAGCAATGGCAAACCTCCTACTATAATATTATTAAGAAACTTGTGAACAGGACAAAAATATCCTGAATGTGGACTGTGACACTCCTCTAAGTCAAATCTTTTTACATGAACTCTCAGCTCTAACATCAGGCAGGAGAACTGAACTTCCAGAAAAAAAATGTTGGCAACAGGATAAAAACAATGGGAAATTATTGTCCCACAAGCACAGGCCTGACACCAGGGCATGGAAAAGGAATCCCAGTCATCTTCAAGGATTCAGCAACACTTCTAATCAGGATTTCTCCTTATAAAGGAACGTGTTGTTGACTGCTCACCACCTGTCAGGACTGAGCTGATGGGAGGCCATACCTTTTGTGTTATGCTGGGAATTCAATTAATGGGTTCATTTCCCCACCAAAACATGAGATTAACAGATAGTTCTTGAAGTCTGGGCAGTAGTGTGAGTATGTATAGGCAGATATACGTCCCTGACTCCTTCCAGGCAGACCAGGCTGCTCTGCAAGGTCTTTACAGCCACATGAGAGGCTCAGGCAGTGTTTAGACCAAGTCACTGCCTGGTACTGGTGTCTTTCCCGTTCCCATCTGTGCTGACACTCCAGCCTACAACATGATCTCATTACACCCCCAGAGTAAGATATTGTTTGGCTCTACAGCCTCTCGGGGTCTCAGAAAAGGCAGGGACGATTTGCCCCAACATGTAACTGTTCTGTTTCCACAGTGACAGTCGTGGGATGCCAGGGAATACCAATGCAAGTTTGCTATGGCGAGTTTCCTGCTGTAATAAGTTTCTGCAGAGTGCTGCAGCACTCTTGCTGCTCATTTGTGCCCACAGTCCACTGTCATGCACAACACCTCTTACAGGGTTGCTAAAAGGCAACTGCAGTGCCTGAGTCAAGGAGCTCTCATCTGACCCTTAAATGAGGAACAACACATTGTCATAGGCAAGGGCGTCTCACCAGGAAAGCAGCTTTCACAATGGCAGGAAATATCTGCCAGACGAGAAAAGGGAGCTGGTCCAGGAGCTGCAGCGCTTGTGTGATTTTTGTACACCTGGTCTTTGCTTCACACTTCCTGTGTGACTTGGAGTAAGTTGAGCATCTGAATCGCTTTTGTACTTTCTCATCAGTTTGTGGAGGCATTCAGACATGTCAGTGGGAGCTAGGAGCTTAGATAACTTGTTCATCTGCCCTTAAATTTCACTGCACCCCAATCCTTAATCTTTAGGATAGGAACCCCAACATGACCTGATCTGTAATAAGGATAACCCTCTCAAACATAACAAGACTCTTTGAGGACTTAAGGATATTTCAAATATAATTTCATAGTAATAATAAATAAATGTCTTACGGTATGCAGCTGGCTCTCTTTGGCACTGTAAAAACTCCACTGAATAAAGAAATTTCCCAGTGGTCCAGAACTGGTGTATGTGCAGAGGAGGGTTGCGTTTCCACCTGTTGTGACATTCACTGTCTTCTCAGGGATGGTCACCACGACCCCCCCGCTGGTGTGGCCTGTGGACAGTAAGTGTGGTGAGAAGAGATCAGCTGGGGCTGGCCCTGGCAGCCATGCAGGAATGCCTTACTCACTCTGTTATTGAAGAAACCTGTAGTATGTATCTGGCTGTTCTCTTTTTCAGTACAGTTTCCCTTGGGCTTTGTGTGGAAATTTCAGAGATAACAAGCTGGGACTGGGTAAAAGCTAGAAAGCAAATAAATCTCCCAGAATACTTGTGCCCTTACAACAAATAATATTCTTAAATATTTTTAAAAAGTAGAGTTCCTAAGGCCATACTTGTTCTCATTGGCTGATACTCATCTTCTCACTAAGAGTCTGTGGTTAAACTGAACATTTCTTCTGCACTCACAGTGCTCTTCTGTGCTTGCACTCTCATTCACAACTGTCTACCCCTCTCTTACACCTTTCTTGCCTTTGTTTGCTTTGGTTTTTTTTCCAGTTATTTCGTTAGATAGCTGATCTCCTTCACTGTGGAGCATCATCACCTACAGTGTTCTCATTTCATACACCCTTATGTTCTGACCAGGATTCGGTGGCACTGTTGCATCCCTCAAGCTGGAGCCCAGAAGATTTTCTCTGCTTTTCTTTTGCTAATTACTTTGCTTTTGTTTAGGTTTCTAAGGTTTTACTTCCAGAAGCTGTTTTTTTTTCCAATGCTATTACATTCGAAAAGTCAAACTAAACTTTCTGGAAGTGCCTTTACTTGGAAGTTGTAGGGAGTTCTTTGATAACTTGATCAACCTATTCTATTGTGCTCAAAGCAGAAAGGGAGCAAACGCAACTTGAGAGCCCTTCCCCAAAGTGTTCTGATCAGTCTCAACTACACAATCATAGTAATGAAAGGAATCAAGCACCACCTTACAGTATTTATCTGTTTCTATCCTCTGTGAATTACTAGCCATGACAGCAAAGATAGAGCTGTCAGAAAAATAAGTCTGAATTTCAGGGTTTTGGTATGTCACTGAGTCCAGTTTGAAAGCTAATGTCTAAAGATTCAAACTGAGAATGCATTTTTTCTGAATGGGATGAAAAACATAAAACATTTTGGAGCCTTCTATGCAAAACAGGCAAGGTGAGAATTTCATATTATAACAATTTTCATGTGGGTTTATTGCATATATTAATGATTGATACAAACATGCACAATGTTTTGCTCAATGCAGAATCTGTGTATCTTATGTTGGGGTGCTGCTTTTGAGAGTTTAAGCAGAATCTGCAGTAATACTAAAGAGTATTTTGCTGAAATTAACATCCCAGTGTGAGAAAACATTGTTTATAAAAAGAAACTATTTTGTCAATTTCAAATATGTAAATATTGCAAAATCATGAGTTAATACAGTATGCAAACCTATCTGAACTGTTTACCTTGTTTGATGGCTTCAATAGTAAAAGCTCACTTCAAGGAAGAAAGGAATAATATACTTTACATGTTGATGGTGGCTAGGATGAAAATTAATGGGTTTAAACTACAACAAGATTTATATTATATATGAAGACATATAATATAGTGTCACAGGAATGGCTGGAGACTGGCCCAAATACGTCAAACCTGCCTTTGTTTCTGCCTTGGGGAAAGAGGGGATCCCAGGACTGGCTGCCACTCCTACTTGTCTTGTGAGTTCACAGCAGCTTAATCCTTACTGACATCTAGTATAAAAGCTGTGCCAAATTATTTCAGGTATCTCGGTTCACTGTTCTCAGCTTTAAGAATTAGTGTTGGCCAGAGGATGATAGTTTCTTCCCACAGTTTACGTGTATTTATTTTCTGCTCTTTGTATAATTAAAGGTACTTTCTTTCAACACAATGTTATTCTACTGAAAACATCCATTTTCTAGTCATCTGCTCCACATATTTACTTTATCATTCTCTGGTTTTAGAGTAAGGAGTGCCACAGAGCCTGACTGTTAGAAGCTTTTCCTGAAGAAATTATTTTTAGCAGAAATTACTCCACAAAGCATTCTAGTTTACATAAAACTATATTTTGACGAAATACAATTAATTGAAATAATCTTCACTCAGGTAAAAAGGCTTTTTAAAACCAATATTAATTGCAACATGAATCTTTTGATTGACAGCAGAGTGAACGGACCCCACAGAGCCTGTTCCCTCACCATGAATGTTAACGGGAGTTTCACTCTGCATTTATGGCTTCCAACTCCTAATCCCATTTCATACATACAGGTCTTTTGGTTTGAATTAAAAAAGAGTGAACAAATAAGAATTAACTCAGTGAAAACAGCTAGTGTGAACAGGACCATAACTTGCTAAAAATGGCTGATCCATGTCTTTACTCATCAGTATTATAGTGCGACTGTTTCCTTCCCACAGAGAAAGTCATTGCAGTTAATTAGGAATCTCCCACTTTCACTGAAGTCCTTTGTAGTTTTTAACACTGATGAATTAAATCCGAGTTTGCTGATCTTTTCTGAGCCACAACAGAAACCCCCAGTTAGTAGTGCCCACCAATATGGGCACATTGCTAGTCTTAAATCCAGAACTTTCAAATTAGAGAACTTAGCTTTGAAAAGTATATATGGTACCAATTCTGACTTACTTTTCATATCTAAGGTAAAAATCTGCTGGGTTTATATGTGTGTGAGAGTAAGAACACTGAAACTCCAGGAGCAGCTACTTAAAATATTTCTATGACACCCAAACCAGGTAATTCCATCTGGAAAAGAAGATGTAGAAACTAACTTTCATTTTCTGTAGTGGATACAAGGGCTGTTAATCTCGTTGGAGCATTAAAATGACTGCTTCTGTATATATTAAAAGTAAAGTTTAGCACAATAAAATGCCCTTGAAATATGAATAATATATGGTTTTTACTGTACCATAAAATTCCTGGATTCCACAAAGTATTATGTCCTCATTTAATTTCAGAGAAATCCAAAAATTATTTGCATGCTTAAAGTTAAGCATCCCCCCCAATGTTTTTGGTGGTTGAGGGACTGAGGCATCATTTTCCAGCCCTGTTATTAAGGGGAACAAAAGCCAAATGTGGAAAAACCTGGCCTTAAAACACTTGAAAGACCTGAATGCTCCATACAAGAGCTCTTCCTGACATCAGAGCAAAGTATTAATCTACCAAATACAACATTCTGTTCTTGAGCAAAAAGCTCTTACCGGGCAGGGGTCAGTTTGTGGATTTCCATAGATTGGTCTGGCAGTGATTTTTATTCCATGAAATAATTAATCTTGAATGTTCTCCTAGTTTGCTAGTCAGATTTACTTGCTCCCTTACTTCAACAGGTTCCTTTGTTCCAGTGCTATTTTGATCAGCTTGTTATTCTTACCTGCAAGGATGGCTAGAATTGGTAATATCTTCAGCATTGTTGCAGACACCTTCTTGATGCTGTGAGAGAAAAGAGACCAGATGCTGCTTCTGGCTTTGACTGAAACTCAACTGTTTTATTTTGTGAAGTCGGTTTTTTGTTTTCCTTATCAGCTGTGTATCAACACGTCAGTGAGCTGTTTCATTCTTTATCACATGTGTGCCTTTCTCCAACTAGTGGTGTGACTGTTCACTTGAAACCATTTTGTGGGATTTCAGCAACCAAGGGTTTTGTTAATAATAAACCTTTGAAACAGAGAAGCCCAAATTCTCCCACTTTTGCCAGGGCCCTGCAGTATTTGCCTACCTAAGTACTTCCACTGAGTACAAGAAAAGTATTTGTGGAGCTATTTAACAGTCAATCTGATTACTAGCATTGGGGCCGGGCCTAATATGAATAATCTTTATTTCCTGTTAATTCTGTAATTTCCTTTGAAAAATGGGCATGTGTAGATAATACATTGTCTTATACATTTTCAATTCAAAACATGTGTCTTATACAGTTTCTTCAGCTTCCTGGGGGAGCCAGGTTTGCTTTTTGTGCTCCTTGTTGTTTGACTGAGGCTGATTCAGAGCCCTGAGCTGCAATGGGACTACCTGGCTCTGGTACACAGCCAAAGTGAGTGAGTGCCTGAAGACAGAGCAGAGGGCAGCATTGCTTTGTAGATGTGTGCCTGCACTTGGGATCAAGGCAGGTAACAACAGGGACTTTTTCTATGCTTGTTGAAAATATGAGACTAATTCATTCCTGATGATCCTATCTTTCTAGTGGCAGGCAAGGGCAGCCACCTCTTCCATGGCAGGAGCCATGCTGCAACATAAGAAGCCCTTTTGGAAGGTGGGGTTCAGCATCAGACCATGTGAGGTTGGAGGGGAAAGGTATGACCAGGCTCTCCCTTGTCTCACGTGTAATGTGGTGGCAGATTCTTCAGCAAAGAAGTCAGGTTGCTGGTTGCATCAGTTACTATTGGGATCAGATTTATGGACTATTTTATTTTGCCAGATATTTCTGTGCATGGCAGATGCCTGAATAATCTCTGGGCAGATGGCAGGGTTTGGTGATATTTTTATATGAGCCATCTCCAAAAGTTTTGGAGATGTCTTCTCCTTAGTTCTGACTGTCAGCACTTCACACAGTATTCCCACAGAGTGGGCAGTGCCCGTCTTTAAGCTATGGGAAGGATAAGTCTTGGGACTGTTAAATGTCTTGTCCAAGAATCACAGGGGACCCAGAGTCCAAAAAGGAATATGTACATTGAAAGACTGAAATTCAAATTCAGATTTCTTCCAAAAGTTGAAAAGCATTTAGACTCACCTTCACTGAGGAAGCATGGAGGGATCACAAGCTCTCATGGGAGGTTCTCACTGGCTTTCCCCAAAGCCTAAAATGGGAGCTGCTGCTGATTTCTAGTCATTTAACTATGGATGAGTGCAAATGATCTGAACATGAGACAACCTGCAGACACACTTCAGTGATTGCCTGTGGCAGCTCTATAGTACCCAGGAGTCTGACTGATAGCTCACAGAGGCCTGATCCTTTGCATAAGATAGCAATTTGCAAGAATATGCGAAAAAACCCACTGCCACCCTGCTGAGTAAGTCAGCACCTGCATGATCCTGTATCTTTACCACAGAACCAATGTGTCCTCTAACTCCCTCGCACCTATCAACACCAAAACCCTTTCTCTGGCATTTAAAGCTCTCTCAGCTAATATGTATTTTTGCTTTGTTACATTCACTTCTTGCCAATTAAAAAAATTACAGAGATACATTCCTGAAGGGTGAAATGCTCACTTTGACCAGAGAATGGGAGCCAAGAACACAAATTCTGTATCAACATGTGCACCTTTAAACTTGGGAGGAATGTCTGAGATTACCAGTTACAAAATGGGTATAGTTCACAGCGAAAGATTACAACCTGTTTTACAGAGGATTCTGAACAGCAGGAGTGTTTATGTTTGACTATTACCCACCTGGGGCTCATTTCACTCAAATCAGAGTTTCCTCAGAACTAAATCTGCAGGCCCTCCAGGGTTATTCTCCTGTGAAGGAAATAGATGATACCTGTAAACTGCTGACTTTGCTTCTAACTCATTGCTCCTGGAGAGCAGCACTGCCTGTTCAGGATAACTGAATGCATACAACAAAATCTGCTTTGGTTTGATATTTTAAATTACAGTGGGACAACAAAGAAACTCTTACACTGCTCAGCTAAGAGAAGAAAGCCCAGAGTGCAGCAGCACAGGAGTCACTTTGCTATGGGTGGAGAAAAGACTCCTATCTCGAGATAAAATGGAAGGGGCCGCTACCAGGAGCTGTGTGTTAACAGACTTTGTGACTCAAGTCTGTGTACACTGAAATGTATTCAGAAATGTTCCCTTTCAAGCAGCTCCCATGTATTCACTCTCTAAATAGAAGCGTCAGTCATTAAAAAGCGAAGCCCAGAGGTAAACACCAAGCAAGGCAGCATCATCCAGAAAAAGCACTGCCATGATATACAGAAGTTGCTTCTGTTGGCCTGAAACCTAATTTAAGAACTTCCTGTAGAAGTCCATGTTTCACTTGACAAAGCTCAGCAGTGCTCCAACTGCTCTGTCTTCCTGAAATAAGCTAAATCTGTAATTGTGTGATGACAGTAAACCCTGTCTAACCCAGTGATTTATAAAGCTCCCTAGTTCAGTATCACAGCTGATGGCCTAGGATGAAGAGAAGTGTGTAATTAAAGATTCCAACAAGTGCAGTGAAAGAGTTGCTTTAAGCATCTAAGTCCATCATTAGGTTGATTTTCAAATGCATAGTACAGTTTGATTGCTTCTTGCTCAGCTTCATTTTTGGTTTAAAAATATTTATAAGCTTTTTTGGAGTGTTTGCAGCCTAAAAGCTAATTAATGAACTCACTGTTATTTTTAATCTTTTATAGGGTGAAAGTCTGTAAGGTTACAAAAATATAAACTCTTCTGAGGAGAGCACTGTGGCTTGTCACTTCAAAGTAACTTGGTCAGAAACACACCTAACCCTCTGTAATCAATCCCCAGAATGAGCACTGTTTATTATCAAAAATCACAATTCCATTTCCTAGAATAGTCTCTCTTTTTAATGTTTTTCTCTCTCCAGAAAAAAGGTCTATTTTCCTTTTAGCCATTCAAAAGCCAGAATTTCCTAGAGCAAAATCCTTGTCCAACAAGCTTTCCTCTTTCTGGGGGAAAGAAACCAAAAAAACAAGAACTGAAATGAGATGAAGCACCCAAGCACTGATCTTGCCCTGCCACAGAGGATGCTTCTGGAGTGCATTTGCCTGCCTGCTCACTGCACTGGCCTCCACACATGCAGGCAGGGAGGGGAGGAGATCCAGCCTCTTTGACAGACACAGACCATGTAGGAAGTTTTATTATTCTGTATTGCTTTAAGAAACTGATGCCTGCTGCAGTCAAAAGGATTTGTTTTTGTGCAACACCTTGCAATAGAAGTGTGACACCTGTACCTGCAGCAGTGCATCACCAAGTTCCATGTGAAATTTATGTGAATGTAAACATCTGGATAAATTTGTGGATCTGGTGTAGGCTTTTTGGGTTGATAGGAACACTCCTCTGGTCTTCCCTACCTTCTGACCTGAGAAAAAAATGAAAAGCAGAGAAACAGCTGCTCATGATGCTGCCCCAGACCTCCTGGGGATGCTGGTGAGCATTCACATACCCTAGGATAAGGCTGTCTTGGGCTGTGCTGGACCAGGATGATGGAAGTGTTGGAGGTAGTTCTGTTGCAGAAGCAGGGGATGGTTCTGCAGCAGTTGTGGTGTTAATATATATGGTAAATTTAAACACCTCGTGTGCAGGTGAGCTGAGCACCACGAGTGCCCTGATGGATGCAGTATAAAAGAATGACTTTCTAACATAAAGTGCCACCTTCAGAGAATCCATTTCTGCTTTGCGGCTCAAGTGTCAAAGCCAAAGCAAGCTCTTCCCTGTGTGGTAAATCACAGTAAAATGGTTATGCCTTTCTACCACTGCTGTTCCCTTGAATTTGCATTGGCTGCATAACCTTTTCCCTGCATATGATTAACTCTCCTTATGTCTTTTTTTCTTTTGATCTATTTCTTTTTCATGTAGTTTCACAATTAAAACTAATCAAACAAAAACAAACCAAAACCAAAACAACCATCAAACAGACAACAACAAAGGAAAGTAAGGAAAATTCACCCTGAGGATCTGGGGATTAAACTGTCTATCAAGCTTATCAGAGGGAAAGGTCTTTTTTCTAACCATTATTTGCATTTTCGTAGATTAACCATTTTTGAAACTAGAAAGTGGTTTTGTTCTTTCAGTTTTGCAGTATTTGTTGTCCTTGTCTAAAAGGAAAAATGCTTTCAGCTTGAGAATGCATGGAATTGCATGATTTATATGGTGGCTGCTTGCCTTAACAGGTGTGATAATGTAATTTTAGGATTACTCTGCCATATTAAAACCTAGCATAAAATTCATGCAATTTGGCTTAACTCTAGGCTTTCCACATGCTCCTGCTGCCTCTGAATAAGAGGATTCAGGTGCATTAATGTTAAAAGGATGCATTTTTTGCTTTGACACACAACAGTTTATGCTTTCAAATGACTACAAGGTGATCTCATTCTTTACTTTATAAAATAGCCTGTTTTTTAATTCTCACTATTTCAAGGAAATTTGTGGACTCAGTGCTGATCTCAACTGCTCTCTACTCCATGTATGTCTACAAATCTCTTTGCTATTGGCATGCTCCAGTTTAGGAGACAGACTAAAGTAGCCTCTGTGTCTGAGCATTGCTTTGCCTGCCTGAGTATGACCGGGCTGAGAATCCCTTTCACTTTAATTCACATATTTGGTTCGCAGAAGGAGCTGAGAAAATGTTTCTGCATCCAGGCTCTGCAACTCAGCTGCTTTCTGAAGGAGACTGAATTTAGTGGATCTGTGTGTCCTTTTTCTTGGGGAGGCAGAATAATATTTGTATATGCCATTAATTATTAATTAATGGTTGTATAGCTGGTTTTGCCCCAGCTACCCTTCTCCCAGCAGAAACGCCGTGGAGTCCCTGGTGACAGCAGTAGCCTGGCTCTGTCTCCCAG